TCTCTGCACTTTAAATTTAGTAGTGTTTTCGTTTCTAATCATTTACTCTAGAAAGGAGTAAACTGGGAAAATAATGGAAAAATGAAATAACCCTTTTCAGTGTGCTTACTAAAACAGAAAATGTATATATTATAGCCTTATAAATTTATCTGTATCAAAAGAAAACGACTTACATTTCTTCAATAGATTAGTAAATACACGGTGATATGATCTGTGTCACAATACGAAATATAAATTGTTGTCTAAATGTTATAAACCGGAGATCAAAAGAAATTATATCAAAATACTTTTAAGAAAACCCCCCTGATATTTTCCATAATTTTAGAAGTATTCTCTGACGGTGCCATGGTTAATAAAGTCTTTGATAGAGTTTGGAGAGAAGGTCTTTTCTACAAACTATTAGATTTAGGTGTAAATGGTAATGTTTACAAATGTTTAAAAAAATATGTTTTATAATAGCCAACTACAAGTCAAAGTTAGAAATACACAAAGTAAAACGTTTATGAATGATTATAGGCGTCATGCAAGGAAATAACCTTAGTCCTTTGTTATTCAACATCTTTATTGACAAGCTCCCATATGTTTAAATCATTCTGTTGATGTCACGAAATTAAATGATACCCCTATTTCTGCATTACTATATCTGATGATATTATTTTGTTTTCATTATCAAGTAGTGGTTTACAAATCTCATTAAATATAGTTAATAAATATTGCAAGCAATGGAGACTTAAAATTAAAATGAAAAAAAACCCACAGGTAATGATTTTTATCAAATCAAGAAGAAAAGTTTTTGACAAATTTAATATTAATGGATTGGAAACAGCATAGAAATTGTTCAAGAATATAAATACTTAGGTGTCATTGTACGATGTTCTGGTTCTTTAACCAGAGGCGTTGACAATTTAAACGATTATGCATTGATACCTTTTTCAAAATTTTAAAAGCCTTTTTCAAAAATTTTAAAAGCCTTTTTCAAAATTTTAAAAGCCTTTTTCAAAATTTTAAAAGCCTTTTTCAAAATTTAAAAAGCCTTTTTCAAAATTTTTAAAGGCTTTTCAAATTTTGATGTATCTTTGAGCATTAAATTAAAACTATTTGATATCCTAGTCGAATCCATACTATTATATGGATGGGATTCGTGGGGCAACCATATTACATCCAACCATACAAACTGTTTCAAGCTTGAAAAGCTGATGTTAAATCTTTGTAAACACCTTTTGGATGTTCATAGTAAAACTTCAAACTCTGTTGTATTAGCTGAAGTTGGTTGGTTCCCAATTCTTCTTGATCTTAAATACAGGATGGTCAAAACATGGATCGAATTAAAATCAGAACAAGTCAACCCCCTACTTCTGTCTGCTCTGGACGAAATGAAAAATACCAGCAGTAAATGGAGTAATCAAATTAGATATTTTTTAGAGGAGACTGGACTGGGTGGGTTGTTCATGAACAACCCATCTCTCAGTCTTTCAATACAGACGCTTTTCTACAGATGTTCAAACAAGGATTGAGGGATATTTATTTGTGTTCAGTATTGGAAATATATTGAAAATGCAAGAACTGTTAAGAACTTAAATAATTGCCTTAAAACTAACACAAAAAATGATTTTTATACAAATTATGATATTGAGAAATACCTGGATATACCAGATGAACAAAAACGCCAGACACTAGGCCAGTTTAGACTCAGTACGCATAAGCTTGAAATAGAGACAGGAAGGCATAAAAAAAACCCTTGTCCACAGGGATAAGAAGAACTGTAAAAATTGTACTAGCGGAGAAGTAGAAGATGAAACGCACGTTCTTCTCCATTGCTCCGCCCACCATAATCTTCGGAAAAAGTTAAGGCCCGGTCCCACTGCACTTACGGATGAGAAGAGGATGTAAAACGGTGAAAAAAACGTGCCCTCCGTTTGAAAACGACATGCATCCGTTGTGTACTCATTGCATACGTGTTTCATACGCTCTATCCATCGAGCATCCGTTCACTTTGATTTCATCCGCGCAAAAAGTTTTGAGCTGCACAAAACTTTTATAACAGATGAACTTTCTGCAGTGTACGATGTAAATGCGCGACATATACGAGCACCAAACGTTCCATGTCCGTTATGATCCGTTAAACGTCTACTGTATCCTCTCTGCATCCTCGCAACTCACATCCGCCCCAGCTGAAAACGGAAAGAGGGAGGGAAGATAAGGTACATGGAACGTCTATACATCGTTAGTAGCACGGAAATAGAAAGGATGTAAGCGTATGCATCTCGTATATAAAGTTTTCAAAACGGACAAAGCGTTTGTATCTGGGATGTATCTGGTATATATTGAAGGATTTCTGGAGTTTGCCTAACCCCTTCGGAGCTGTCATCCACTTCCATCCGCTAGGCTTCCGATGAACATCCATTTAACATCCCCGCTACATACTTCCCACGTTCGTTCTTTTCCGTTCTATTTTCGCAAATTTTCGTCAATTTTGTTCATTTCTGGAGCGGATGAAAACGGATGGAGCCACCCCCGAAAGTTTGGTCGTCCGCTGTGTCCTTTTTGCATACGTTTTGTGTCCATCGGCCACTGGGACCGGGCCTTTAAGTCATCACATTAAAACTAGTCTGAATGATTCAATAATGCATATAATGAACGATGATAAATGTATACAAGATGTTGCAACGTTCGTATCACGCTGATCAGCAGTGAATTTTCGCTAGGCTATTACTACTCGTAATTCTCTGTGAAACAGATTGCGTTCGTATATGATCCATGAAATGTTTAAAAATAGACATTAAATACCATTTGCTATGTAAGGCCTAATATATAGGCCACCTTACAAGCATTGATAATATAAAATATAATTTAATTTCCTTTTAGAAACCTCTGTAAACCTTATTCTATGTTCTTTAATGTTTATTTTGTATTGTAATTTGTATTGTATGCTTTACCATACTCGTGATACCATGCAGTTGTGTAATAAATAAAGCATTATTATTATTATTATTATTATTATTATAGTTTGCCTCCAAGAGACAAACTAGTTGAAACAATGTGCAATTTAATTAATAATCCAGGCGTTCCGATGGGAACCCTGTTGTAATCGTTGTGTTCCCTTATTTCTAAAAGGTAATTCTGAAAAATATAAAATCATAAATATTGAAATACAAAGAACAATAATTGAATTAAACTCATTTTACGCTAAACTATTCTCAGACACGTGCGCGTTAAATCATAAGATCTGTCATTGAGTCAAGTGGCGTGGTTTCGATTACCCACTTGTACGTGACAAGGCTTTTCTTCGGATTCTCCGGTTTCCTCCCACTGTTAAAGACCCCTACGCGCAAATTCAACCATGGGTTAGTCCAGAAATGACCTAGTTTGTGTCGATTGGACGTTACCCCCCCCCCCACTCTCCCTCTCTCTCACAAGTGATGGGAGACAAATCTTTGTAGTTTTACCCTCTCTTTACAAAACTCTCTCTTGTTTTTAATATTTTATATTTTCAGCCAGGTGTTGGTGAATATTCATGATTTTAAGGCGGAAGGATCAGGGATTAGTGCCAAACAAAAATAAAATCTTAATCCGTTAGAACGGACATAGGAAATGAGAAAAAAGTTTAGGGTCGGCGATTATCAATAATATATATTTGAATGTTTTGTGTGTGAGTATTTGTTAAGTGTCTTGTTCTGTTACTGTCTTTTTCATTTCTTTGTTATAAAGGGCAAAATTGTAAACGCATAGGCTAAATGGAACAATAGAACAAGCACACCTTAATGTCGACAAACTATGAAATATGATACTTCTATGATATGATTCAACCGAAAGGTCGTATATGCAACACGGATACATAATATCTATAATCAGGTTAAACGAACGGGGTCTATACATAATCCTTATAAGACATATAGAAATAGATTTCACTAAAAATAAAACACACTTATATGGATATACTACTTCTGAATTTATTGCTTGAAAACGATATCTGTATGTGTATCGAAACGTAGCATGTTAATAAATTCAGAAGTAGTATATCCATATAAGTGTGTTTTATTTTTAGGGTCTATACATTTTAAGTATTGCGTTGAGCTGAATAAAGTATATGAGTTATTGTCATTAAAGAATCTATGGGTGGGTAGTTAACAATGTGTAACTAAAAACTATGATATTATGTTTATTGCCAACATTTTAATGCACCTAGAATTTTTTCTATACCAAGTCTATTGCATCTAGATGTTTAAAGTGCGTTAACAATATATTCATTTAAGAGCATTTATGTCATTTCGGGATTAATAGAGAGAGAGAGAGAGAGAAATGGGGTTTAACGTCCACTCGACACAAACTAGGTCATTTCGGGACGATTAATTAAAATTAAACCATTTTGGATTTCATTTTGCCGGCCTTTTTGAATTTCTAACATCAAGATTTCTCGAAATTAAATTTTTGAGATTATCGCTGCCCTTTTATTACCAAATTAATGTTTGTTTTTTCATTTATTTTATTTTTTATTTAAATGGTATTCTATTACCAAATTTGGCAGTCATATTGAAAGAAATGCCCGCCACCAAATGACAAATACATTGTTTTAATTGATGTTTATCGAATTCAATTTTTCCACACATTTCGCTTGCATAACCAATCTGTGTTTGAGGAATTAAAAAATAAATTATTTATCCTACCACCACTGAAATACACTGATTACGAGATATCGCTCTCCGATAATTCCTGAAGAACGCCAAATTGAGTTCTGTTATTCATGTCATTCTTGGTCGATTTTCAGTATGATTCCGACTGACATATTTATCATTGAACCAAACTGCACCGGTTTCTTTTGCAATTTGTTTAGATGACGTCAATGGGCGTCATAGTTGGGACCCAAAATGGAGCTTGTAAATGAGTTGTTGTAACTTTCCCTATAAAGGGCTTTGTTATGCAAGTCAGAAAAGAAGTGACGTAGGAGCGAGTCTGACGTATTAGAGCAGGTTATCCAGTCTAATACTGCACATCGTGTAAAGGGGGGTCACTCTCATTAGTTGCTAAGATAAACCGCCATCTTTGTTTTTAGTTTACAAGATGGCTGCCTCTGAACTATTATTTTTGGAACGTTGAAAATGGTGTTTATGTTGTGATTGGCAATGAAATATTTCATAGTGAGTTGAATTTTATTTTCCCAAATGTGTATTAATAAGCAAGAATACTATTGAGTAATTGCATTTTTCAAAGCAAACTTTATGGTAGAGCTAGACCTGGACCTGGTGAGATCTAGGCCTACCGACAGTAGGCTACTAAAAAAAACATGTTAACGTTGCTGCAGGTTGATCTTTCCCAGGTTTCCGTCGAATGTACTTCATCTCTAGACCTCGTGTCTATCAAAATAAGATAGGGCACTATCTATTTACAGTAGAAAATGCACAAAATTTAATTTTACTTTACTGATGCCATAGCATACTTTTTCTAAAATCAAAATATCAATTTTCTCAAGCTGAAAAGGGATAGGTCTATTTATTATTTTTAATTAAGAAACAAAACCAAAATACCAAAGCAAGATAACCTCCCTGCTTCGATTCAATCAGATTTAAAGTAGGCATATCAATTATGTTCGCCTGTGCCACAAAATAGGGTGTTTATATAACTATATACCTGTTGATGTTTATTACGTATTATATATCGATCTAGTTTAGAAAAAAAAAGTAGAGTTTTGGAGGCCGTGATACCGGGTACATGTATATGATGCGACTTGACTTTAACAATAACAGTCTGATCATTGTGAGATGTCCAAGCTAAATCCATTGCAGATTTGTTAATCTTCTTCATATAGCGAACTGTCTTTTTCTAATATTAAGCTCCAAGACTGGAATAAACAACCATTTGCTATTTATAGGTGCATGGTGCATCATTCAAAAAATCTTGTAAGACTCATTTATTTTGTATTATAAATTGATTTTTGAGCTTTGTATGTCAAGTTCTACATGATTCTATTGCTCATGTGATATTGTATCTTGTATAGCCCCTGTGGACACTTATTATCGCTGGACATACTTCAATGTATAAGCCTAAACTTTTTAATTTTTATTACAAAATACATGAAATGCCATTTATTGTTGTAGATCTGAAGATAATACGTTAGTACTAGTGGTAAAAAACCCCCAAAAACAGGAATTGAAAAGATGCCTGCAGTAACAATGTCACGCTATACTGGCACAACCAAACAAAACATTAATGGAATAGAAGTAGTTGATGGAGTTGTTTGGCAAGGCTGGGAACCAGGCCAAGAGTACACCAAAAATATTACATTAAAAAATGTCCAAGTCAAAACACAGAAACTCAAATTCAAGTAAGAATAATTTGTTGTTTAATTCATATTTCTTCTAGATAATCTACATGTAGACTGTTAACAAGATTTCACTATTACAGATAATATTACATTTATGTTGGTAAAGAATGAAAAAGACATTAGTGGGGTGTGAAGAATGTTATCTCGATTTGGCATGATTTACCTATAAGTTATAATTATTGTCATTGCTCACTTTGTAGATACTTGTGAATGCTTTATAAATATTGAAATTCGCCATGTGATGGTGGTCTACTTTAAATTTATGTGCTTTACTTCAATGAATACATCTAACAATAAGAACAATATTTGATAATTACTTGAGTTAGTGCCCTTTATTTTTTCATGGAAACTGATCAATGGGACAGTGATGTATGCAGATTTCACTTTTTATTTGTGACAACCTTTATGGACTGCTCAGACGACATATAACTGCTGAGGGTGTTACTTGTATAAATTTGTCAGTTATACTTTTAATCAAAATATTACAGAAAGAATAAATAACACTCTTCTGCAGCTATTTTTACATTTTAAACCAACCAGAAAGTTATATAAATGGTTTATCTGATATTTGTTATATTGCTTTCAAATATTATCAATATATTTGTAGTGTACCAAAAAGCCGATTTTTTTCAACTCTGTATCCAAAACCGATTGTTCTGAGTGCCGGTACAAGTTTCACCTTACCAGTGACCTTTCGTCCATTAGAGAAAAGTGTTTACGAGGATAAAATTCAGTTCAGAACACAGGTACATGTATAGATATTCTCTCTGTTTTCATAAATAAACCGTATTCAGGAATCAATAAGTGTAATTTTAAAAACGATTTAGCAATCGAGTTTAATAAACTAATACCTGTATTCTATATTAAATAACAGGAAGGAGAATTTGAAGTTCCAATTAAAGCAGAGTTACCAAAATTTAACATTCAAGTTCCAGAAAAACTTGATTTTAAAATGTGTGCTGCCAAAGACTTTGTGGAAATGGTTTTTGAAGTCTTTAATTCTGGGTATGTAGTCTTTAAAGATGTCAATATTAAAGGTGTCCTGGTTAAAATTCATAATTTTCTTTGAAATGTATGAGGGACACTATAAAATTATTTTTGGACACAATAGCAGACCGAACCTCGTGCAATACAAGTCCTTATATAACATTCATTAACATTCATTTAAATATAGCGTATTCCAGATGATTTTGAGATTTATTACAAGTGAAATCTGGCACGAGTCAAGTTATTTGGGTATATTTTCATTAATTTCTAGCGATACTGATACTACAATCAAGTGGGAAGTTATATCACCATTTACTATTGAACCCAGTGAAGCTGATCTAAAATATAAATCATCATGTAAATTTAAAGCTACTTTCAGACCAGAGGTACGTGTATTATTACTGTTCTTTTCTCTATATAAAAATTTGTTTTTGATACTGGTGACATGTAGCTTTAAAATAATCAAATGATTGACTGCCCAGCAACATACAACAAACACAATTCAAAATGTTATACTGGATGTCCAAGTTCTTCACAATATAAAACTAATTCATTGAGTGGATGGTTCTGAGCCTGAAATGATTAAGAATTCTTTCAGTATGATTCTTGTGGCACGTGGCACATTCAGATGGAATGAAAAAATAGGTCTTGTGTACACATTGGTGTGCATGTAAAAGACCTTTGGCAGTTGCCCTTCTACATTAGCCCAGTCAGAGCAGAACAGTAGGATGTTAAACCCCATTTCATTTTATTTCTGGAAGAATGTGCCTTTAAAGGGACAATAACACTCTTGCTGGCTTGACAGCTCCAGAAAATAAAAAATAGCCCTATTCTAAGTTCTAGATGTGTTAGTGTCCTACCTGTTGTGTAAATTATCCATTAAATCCTATTTTACTTGTCCAGAGGGTTCAAAAATATTTTTAAATCCAAGTCACATTTGAAAAGCTTTACGTCAGGCTTTTCAAATCATTTAGTTGAATTTTTCCATTTTTTTAAATTAGGTGTGTTAAGATGAAATTTGTATCATCAATTAATTGGAATATTGTAAAATAGAACAATTTGTTGACCAGAATAAAGATTGGGACATATTATTCAGTTACAACAAGAGTGGTATTGAGCCTTTAAGTTTAATTCTTTTATCATTAAATGGGATCTATAGGCATAAATTTGAAGTATATTGAAATGAATTGAGATACAGAATATGATTAGACTTTTTATATAATAATATGTGCATGTATTTGATTTTAGGCTGCAACTGTATATAAAGGTGAAGCTATTTGTAAATATGGTCCAAATTCTAGCTTTGATAAAACAACAAACATTAAAGGAATTGGTAAGTTGTGGGTATAACAACAAAATTTATTTCTAGGTCGCCACCCAGAATTGTTGATGACAAGCACTACTGATTTTGAAGCTAATTCAAAGAATGTGTACATTTGCATGATTCCACTCGAGTTCTTGTTGAAAGTTATTAAGTATTATTAGGGTTTATAATTTCATGATTCAGACCTTGATGTATTTAACACTAACAGAATGCCAAACATGCTTAATGTAAATGGTAAAATCTGTTGTAAAGCCCTTTAAAACAATCTGATTTAAATACAGATCTATATCAATAGCTTCAACTACATGAAGATTTAACCGATTGTAGTTGGAGGTCACATCAGGGGTCATATGAGTGACTTTTGACCCTATGTATGACATCAGATTTTTGATTTACTAATCAGCATTGATGTTTCTGTTAGGATACCCACAGTTCCATGCACAGTATGCCAAAAACTCGTAACATTGTTTCATTGGCTAATCCCTCATATCAACCAGAACGTGGCTTATACAACAACTCTTCCAGATCCTCATATCAACCAGAACGTGGCTTATACAACAACTCTTCCAGATCCTAGTGTAGTAAAAACAAGTAAAACGAAATTTTGAACTATAAAAAACGAAACGAAATAGGATCTGTGTTTCAATCAGATTGCCTTTAAAACAAAATAAAGTGCCAAGTTTAACTTGAATCTCAAGATATAAACAAATTGCTCAGCTATGTGAACTACCATGATAGGATGGTTCAAAAAGGGTCAGCTTACCCTGCTTCATGCATGTGTAATGATATTGCTAGAATTTTTGCTCTTGAAATAAGATGGCTTTATATTTCATTAATTATTATCTTTGGCAAGTTAGTAATTTCAAACATATTCACATATATAGTGTGCACTAAATCAACTTAGTCTGTAATTGGCAGTTGACACATAAAAAAGAGTTATTTATCGAAAACATATGTCACTCATTTACCACCAGAATTACACGTGAGTGGAATTATTCTAATTGCATCATTTAGCTTAAAGTAACCAATCATATCGTTAATTGCACAGGTTCAGGGCCATGATCACACTTGATTGTGCGTGATATTCATATGGTTATAAGAGAAACCGGGGAACTTTGTAAGACAGACTTGAATTAGATTCCAGAGATCGAGGGTACATCTGAGTTCCTAGACAGCCGAGAGGCTGGATAGGGTGGAGAAGTGGTTTTAGCTATATAGTATTGTAATTTGTGCTATGCTTGTATACCTGTATTCAGTTATATGCTATAAAAAAATGTAGAAGCGAACTATGCATTATTATTCCTGGTAAGACAAACGTCTTAATAAACTGTAAGAAGTAAATACACAACGTGAAGCAGAAGTAAAGACAGCTAGAGACAAATTCTAGACGATCACAAGGCTACAGAAATATGTAGTAAGAAAAGATGCATGGGTCGTACGTAGGATGTGGCGACCGGTTTCCGACATATGCCCGCTCTCCACGTCAGACAGAAGGCTCATGGTGCTACATATGACACCTGTCACAACTTGTACTAATAATGTGGCCAAAAATGGCTAGAGTCTACAGGGCAAATTGACGTGAAAATTTGTTGCAGTTCTTAAAATAAAGCAAATATTTCTGAGAAGTATCCTGATCATTAGGTCTGCTAGACTTTTCTTGTATGCCTGACGCTAAAATTCTTGTAAATGTTTTTTGTTTATCGTACTTACTTTAAGTTGATTTTTTCAGGTAAATACCCACATATTTTGGTATCAGCCTCAGGTAAACCTGTTAATAATTTGAAACAAGAGAATTTAGAGTCAATCATTAATTTTGGAACAGTAGCGGTTGGATCATCAGTACAGAAATGGATGGAACTTCATAATCTCTCACCAGTATGTGCTTTCTAATATTTCTAGTAAAACACAAGCATCTTCTCACCTAAACACATGTTTCTAGTGTATACAAAACACAAGCATGTTCTCACCTAAACACATGTTTCTAGTGTATAGAAAACACAAGCATCTTCTCACCTAAACACATGTTTCTAGTGTATAGAAAACACAAGCATGTTCTCACATAAACACATGTTTCTAGTGTATAGAAAACACAAGCATGTTCTCACATAAACACATGTTTCTAGTGTATAGAAAACACAAGCATCTTCTCACCTAAACACATGTTTCTAGTGTATAGAAAACACAAGCATCTTCTCACCTAAACACATGTTTCTAGTGTGAAGAAAACACAAGCATCTTCTCACCTAAACACATGTTTCTAGTGTATAGAAAACACAAGCATGTTCTCACCTAAACACATGTTTCTAGTGTATAGAAAACACAAGCATCTTCTCACCTAAACACATGTTTCTAGTGTATAGAAAACACAAGCATCGTCTCACCTAAACACATGTTTCTAGTGTATAGAAAACACAAGCATCTTCTCACCTAAACACATGTTTCTAGTGTATAGAAAACACAAGCATCTTCTCACCTAAACACATGTTTCTAGTGTATAGAAAACACAAGCATCTTCTCACCTAAACACATGTTTCTAGTGTGAAGAAAACACAAGCATCTTCTCACCTAAACACATGTTTCTAGTGTATAGAAAACACAAGCATGTTCTCACCTAAACACATGTTTCTAATTCTAGTAGATAAAGATATATTGAGAAATATGAAAATTTTCTTCCAATATTTGCAGAAATTAATGCACAAATTATCATTCATTAAAATATCATGATACTGTTGTTGTGTTGTTTAGACGCACACACATTTCCTCACAATGAAAGTCATGACTTGAGGTATACATCTTCTAACTCTCAAACTTTGAGTCTGACTCAATCTTCGGATACATTTCAAAGAAATTGGATTTCTGTGTGATTTCTCCTTCATAATTTGAGTAAGATTTGTAGTCGGATATTCAGGAGATTGGGCCTTAATAAAGTATGGGTCAAGCCCCAACTTGGGGCCCCGGACCCCCTGGACTCTGGTATTAATACCGGTATTAAATGAGAAGAATAGGAAGTTAATTTAGAATTGTGTGTTTTCTAGGTAAGGGTACCATTTCAAGTAGAACATCAACAACATGCTAATAGTATTGATAAAGTATTTAATTGTTTGATGAAGAATGGAATTGTTCCACCAATGACAGCTGTGAGAATTCCTGTAAGTATATAGCATGTAGTTTTAATCTCAAGACTAATAATTTATTTATAGACAAGCATGCAATAAAATTGATGTGTATGCAGAATTAAGATTGATATGTATGTAGAATTGAGATTGATGTGTATGTAGAATTAAGATTGACATGTAAGTAGAATTAAGATTGACATGAAATGTAGAATTAACATTAGAATCAGAAAATAAGATTATGTGTCTAATTGATGGTAAATCTTGAATTTAGTGTTTGTAAATTCAGTTTGTATGTATACGACAATTTGTTGCTAGATGACAGGAGCGGATCCAGGAATTTTTGCAGGAGGGGGTTTGCAAGGTTCCTGTTAAGGAAGTTTGACAGTTGACAATGCATGATGCCATCATCGTCTCCAAATTACGTAGCCATACAAACACACTGAGCTTTTTAAAGTTTGACATCAATTTTTATTATGAATTAATAGGATCACATTGTGATTCAATTTCATTGATACAAAGCATTAATTATTGTGATATCACATATGTCTATATCATTATCGCGTGCTTTGAATGCCCATCCCATCTCACCATCTGATGATAAAGCATACGACCGTGACACTTTTCTCTGGATCCACCCCTAGATGAAAAAAGCTCTCTGTATTGTTATTGTATAAAATTATTAATTCTAAGTTTGTCAACCGACATATATAACCTAACAAATGAGAATGTTTTAAGATACTCCGTGACTTGAGATAAATTGTGTTTGTTATATTTTAGATGATGTATACACCTAGTTTAGTTGATACATCAAATATAGATTATTTCACTGTATCAGCTGTAGGAAATATTAGTCAAAGTTTAGTTAAATGTGTTGGCATGTCAAAAGGTAGGCTTGATGATTTATATTTTATGTTTAGCTTATTACAGAAGAAAATTGATAAAGATAATTTTCAGTTCCAGTGGAGATGGAAAGAAAAGTTTATAGTCTATGACTATAAATTAAATTATCACTTTATCGTACCACTTTAAGGACTGCACCTTTTCCGCAGTGGTAGGATTGATGGTCCAGATCTGGTCAAATTTATGCCATTGGTTAATTTTGTATTGTTGACAAAAGATGACTTTCATTGCTCATGAAAATGGTTTCTTTTCACAGACTTGAATCGGAAGGTCAAGCCAATAAGTGACATGTTTTAAGATGCCGGTCATTATGGAAAATTTGACTGAAATTTCTGCTCTGTCATTCCAATCTGTGAAAATAAGACAAAAAACAATCAAATTAGTTGAATTCCATGAGTTAACTTGTATTTTCATAGACTTAAGGCATTGCCAGTCTACTCAAAATTTCAGGGCAAGTAAATTAATGTATAAATACTGAATCTGTTAATTATTAGGGCCAATAGTACAGCTGAGTTTCCGTGCTGTGAATTTTATGCAAATCGATTTGGGTCAGACAGCTACTAAAAGTGTGGAAGTCATCAATAATTCTGATGTGGAGGCTGTTTATCAGGTGAGTTATCTCCCCTTTATATTATCTGATGGAACTTGATGAGCGAGAAAGTTGATTAGAATTTTCCGGCATACACAGCAGAGAATCCTTGACAGTTGAAATTAGTCGGTAGAGAATAGTAGGACGTTAAACCCCATTTCCTTTCATTTTACAGTGATGTAAAAAGATCAGCACAGACATACTCAATGTTCTTACTTAACACCTAGTCGTGTATTTGTTTTTCAGTTTATGATAGAATCAGAAGATAGTGTTTTTAAATTTCAACAAGTTGCCGGTGTGTTAAAGCCAAAAACAAAAGATACGATTATTTTGAAATTTTGTCCACCTTATCCTATTAACTATTATCGTCGTATTACATGTCTGGTACATAATCAGGTAAAAAAATCTACATAATATTGTTTCTGGAAATATTTAATTCACAATAGGGTATTCTTTGAAAACAATTTTAATGTACATGAATCATATTGAATTATGTAGGTAATATTTATATTCCTTACTCTTGCTAAAGTACCGGGAAACCATGATTGATAAGCTGTCTTAGATAAACTCAGAATTCAGATTAAATTCTTATTATTTTTTTCTAGATAATCTATAAAAGCTTTAAATGAAAATTCCATTCTACAAATATAAGACTGACAATAAAAATCTAATAAAAAGTAACTGTGATTTATTATATGATATCTGTATGCTGTTATATAATTGTGTTTCAGGGCCCACTATTTTTAGATCTACTGGGTACGTGTCATTCAGAGACAGTCAAACCAGCCGTTTTACTATCAAAACATATTGATAGATATAAAGTTCATGCAGAACGAGGATTCTCATTTTATGCTCCAGAGGTAAACTTGTAATTTATACAGGACACACTTATGTGGAGTACAGTTACTGACGTTTTGACCAGAATTTTCTATTTTTTTTATCAACCAAGCAAATAAACAGTAATCGTTTTTCATAGAATTGTGTCTTGTTGGATATATCCAGGTCAATTGTAAAGGGGCGGGGGTGGGGGGTGGGGGGGTGGTTGAATGGTTAAAACTTGCGCATCGGATCATAAGGTCTGTCATTGAGTCAAGTGGCATGGTTTTTATTCCCCGCATGAATGTGACAAGGTTTTGGGTTACCTGTCCAACCTCGTGGGTTTTCTCCAGGTTATCCGGTTTCCTCCCCCTGCCAAAGACCCCTACGTGCAACTAAATTATATGTTAGTCCCGAAATGACCTAGTTTGTGTCTGTCAAGTGAATATTAAACCTGATTTTTCTCTCTCAATTACTAAATGCAACTGAAACAGTTTAAGCTTACAATTAATTTTTCCATAAAAAAAAATTATATTCAACTTTTATTTTCATTATTTTTACCAAATTTGTTGTTAGTTAACAAATTGTATTGTTAGATTATCAAAATGTATTGTGAGATTATCAAAATTATTATTGTTTCTATTATTCAGCAATTGAATGAATTAATTCAAGAGGGCAAACTTCTCCCTGATAAAGATGGATATTTACAAAAAACAGATGTAAGTATGAAAACATTTTAAAAGGCCTATCTTTATGACATACATGCACCCTCTTCTGTAAAGATTTAATACCTTGTTTCTAATTTGGAAAAATAGATTTATCATATGGTTGAAGTGAGTTTATATTTATACCAATACTTTTTGTATGGAATGTATTTAATTTATTTGATTTGATGAATGCTTGAAATAAATGTATAGTGGTATATTGGGGCACAATCAGAAGGGCTAATTAAAAACCGGCATCTTACATTTCACTCCATCCCAGAATTCCATCTAGGATCAAAGCCTTTCATTAATCAAGGGAAGTTACTAAATTAACACAAAGAACTCAAGAAGGCTTCAGACCACTATTCCTTAATAATAATATGAATAAGTTGGTTTAGTAATGGAGTATATGACAGTATTATTGATACCATGCTTTATTTTCAGTCTGAAACATTAGAAGTAAAGGATAACTCATCTTGTTCATCTCAACCTATGGATTATTATTTTAATGATGGATTTCATTCAGATGTTATGGTTAGTTTATTTATCATAATTTACTCAATACATTAATCACAATAATTCCCTGATACAAGTTAGTCAGTCTTTTATATAGTTGTCTATCATGTAATATTGTTAATTGTAATAATCATATGACTCACTGAAAGGAAAATGAAGGAATACAGTTATTGTAATTATTATTTATTTTTTTTAAAAGACAACAGTACCACATGTTAGTTGTGATATTAATGTAGCAGATTTTGGAAATTGTCAAAGTTTACGTACTGTTGAAGATAAGGTAAATAAAGTTTAATTTGAGTTCCTTTGTTTTTTGAGAATACAAAATTACTTACTGATGATGTTGTAAGAGATTAATTTACTGTCTTTTATTTATGGTTAAATAGGGAGTCACGATGGCTCCGTACCTAAGATGCTGGCTTGTTAGCATGAAGGTCTCGGATTCGCTCCCGATGTTGGCCGAGCAATATCTTCAAGATTTTACCGACATGGTTTCCACTTGTCAGTGATGTAGGACAGAAGGCCCATGTACACATTGACGTGCAGATAAACGAACCCTTGACTGTTTGATTTAAATATAAGAGTAGGCCGGCCGTAGCACCGCTATTCAGACAAAATTTCCCTGGTAGCACAGTGCATGGTATATACTTGTTTTCATTAGAACAGATGGAGCATTAAAGTAGGGCGTTAATCCCCATTCATTTCATTTATGCTAAAATAACCTGAATGATTTTAATATATAAACCATGTTCATATTTGTTATTTTAGACTGTAAACATTACAAATCATACAAGAGGAAAAGTTACTGTTCAATGGATAGAAAGTAAGTGATTTGTATTTTATTATCAAAATGTTTTAATGTTGTATCTAATGTTTTTAAAGTTGATGATGTCTCATCATGCTACCCATGTGCAGTGGTGCTTCTACATCATATGTGCCTGTTAGAATAGAATTCAACTTTTCAAGTACTACTGAATATTTGAATCCGTAGACTTACATTGTTAAATTTGATAATATGAAAGTTTAAGGCTTAAATTTAAAACTAATTGTGATTTTTTTTTACTTCAGATTCTGGTGTTCAATTTTCTGTTCATCCTACAACATTAGATATCCCACCATTAAAAACCTGTTCTTTTAGAGTTTCTTTTAAACCTGTAAGTTTATTTTAAATTTATAATCGTAATAACTATTAGTACATTGCTCAAAAAAAACCTAGACCATGCCCTTATAATCCAATTCAGTACAATAGTTTCTAAGCGACTAAATAATTAGTTCCCCCCTCATGTACAAGTTGGCATACACCTAAAATAACTGTTGGCAGTTGAAGTTCAATATAAGAGTATTCTATAGCGTTGCTGTCCGGGCAAAACTTCCCTTATAGCACACTGTATCTTCATAATCCCAGTTGGAGCAGAACAGTAGGATGTTAAACCCCATTTTATTTCATTTACTAAGTAGTTATTGGAATACATACAGAATTGCAATGATGTACTGTACTCTAATCGCCTGGAAGATCTATAGTTGAATCTATAGATGGGCAGTCTGATTAAAATACAGATCTATATTTCATTTCCTTTTTTTTATACTTACGATGGCCAACACTACATGAAAATCTGACCAGTTGTTGTGGAAGATCGCATCACAGGTCATATGAGCGGCGTTTGACCATGTAACGTCAGAGATTTGATTAACAAATCAGCATTGATGTTTCTAGTGGATTACCCACAGTGCCCTGCACCACACGCCAAAAGACCGTTTCATTGGCTAATCCTTCACATCATCCAGAACACGTCAATGATAACAACTCTTCCAGATCCTAGTGTAGTAATGACAAGAAAAAATGAAATTTTGAACTTTAAAAAACGAAACAAAATAGGATCTGTGTTTTAATCAGATTGTTAGATGAAGTTATGTCAAAAACTAATTTTCATGGTTGAAATGTAAGGAATGAAATGAATACAACAGATAATGTACCAAATAGATATATCCTCAGGTTCCCAATATTGAAAAAAAATATCTGTGTTTTTTATTTTGGTAAATATTTGTAATTTCCAGGGAGCACCAAATCAGTTTTATGGTGAAGAGTTAGAATGTTATGTATATTATAAAAGTTTACGTGATTATAGATTAGTACAAGATATAACACATTGTCCACCCTGGTGTTTAACACTTACTTGTACAGGTATAACCTCTATATCTTTATTCTTATAGTACATTGTAGCTTATATTTTATTTTTAAAGATGCATTATGTAAGATTTACATAAAGAGCTGTAATAGTTAAAAAATTAGATAATGAAAAATGGAAATATCGATATAGCTTAGATCTTTTATTATCATAGCAATGGTACTTGACAACCGAGACTATGACTTGATTATCCATTTTATCATTAAATTTTTAAATCTCCTGGGTGTTTAAATCCATTTAAATCTCGGCCATCCAATGGTGTAGAGGGTTGATAATAAGCTTGTCATGTGAATTAATGTCTAAATAATAGTTTATATATCATCATTTTAAGCCAGGTAGATTTAGCACTTACAACTTCTTCTTTAATGTCACATATAGTCATAATTTATTTCCTCTCGGCCATTGTTATTTTACAGAATATTATTCAGTTATGAATTTGATTGTTTTAAAATATTTCTGATTGTGTTAGTTATTTACATGTTCAAATGAATTCTATTTAACTTTGTAGGTCACACTTTTATGCCTCATCATGAAACATTCTGGCCAAGATATACGTTAGATAATCCTAAAGTTGTTTTTAATGCTGTAAATACCCAGGAATCAACCTATAGAACTATTCTAATGACAAACACTGGTACCACTCCTATATTTCTTGATATGGAATCCGATCCTGACAAGTAAGTTTACAAAAGTGACATCGGTTGAAATACATTTTAATTGAGCTTTTGAAGATTGGTCTTGACAGTGACAAAAGTGTGTCATTTGAAAAGTATTTGAATCAAAAAGGATTCACACTTTGAGAACTTAGGCAAAGGATGGCTGAGTGATAAAATTTGTCCTGATGGGTCCCCACCCTCTTTGTTTACAAAAGTGATCTATTATTTGTTGTAGAACTTTTTTAAGTATTGAGGAATATTGACCAATCATCACCGCTGAAATACTTTACTTCTGTCACGACTCTACAGGATCTGTTTATACAGTAAATACGTGTACCTATGCCAGACCTTATGATGCAAGCAAGTAATTGATACGGTCAGATTAGTCAGATTACACACAACAGTATAATAACAAAGTATAAAACATTAAAGAGGACGGGGGAGGATGGCCTAGTGGTCTTGAGTGACGCGCTTCGACCTCAAGCTGGCTTGTTGTGGTTTCAATCCCTGGTGTCAGCGTATGTGGCTTGGAGATAGGGACACCTTCTCAACCTCGTGGGTTTACTCTGGGTACTACGGTTTTCTCCCACAGGAAAGACCACTGCGCGTGCGCTAAGCTAATAAAAATGAAAATGAGACAACTTGTCTGGCATATCACCTTCGGTGGAAGCTGACGTTAAAAACACAAAGAACAACAAGTTTAAAGAAGTATATTATTTATTGTAGTGTTTTTATATCTTCAGTATATTTGCTGTAAAACCAAGGAAAGGTTTATTTAAAGGGAAATATCAGATTTTAACAGTAAAAGCTACACCTACAGAAACTAAAATCTACAAACAAGATTTAACTCTACGATTGAATGATAACGAAAAATACAACCAGGTAGGAAGTTGATATTGATATATATTTACCGACCAGCAGAAACCATGTTATATTACATCTTTCATATTCAGTTTATGTAAGATGGTGCTAAAAGTTGACTATAAAAGGCCTGTGCACATTTAGAATTATTTGTCAAGAATTTTCGATCACCGACGATTAATTATTGATCGACAATGAATTATGCAGTCTGACAGGATTGTCCCTGATGTTTTGTTAATTATATGTGTGCTACTGGCAAAGATGTCGCTGTGGCTCAGTGAGATAGATGCTGGCTCTCTAGTTGGGAAGTCACAGTTTCGCTCCTGATGTTGGCCGAGAAAATTCCTCTGGTTTTTCCTGTGTCAGTGGTGCAGGATTGTGGGCCTGACAAGGACAGGTGTCTAGTCATTTGAACGGTACACATTGGCGTAAAAGAACCCTTAACAGTTGGAATTCGATATAAAAATAAGCCGTAGTACTGCTGTCTGGGTAAATTTTCCCTTGTAGCACACTGTATGGCGTATGTCCGTCTTCATTAGCCTAGTCGGTGCAGAAAAGTAGGACGTTAAACTCCATTCCATTACATTTGCTACTGGCAAACACCATCACAACCATCCATTGGGGTTGATCAAGCCTATTTCCAATTGCATGCTTTTAAAGTTTTTGATGGAAGTCGCTGTGTTTACTTTGGTAAAAACCAATCTTTGTATGGATAAACACTAAATAAACATCACCATGTAAACACAAAAGCAATGGGAAATTCTTGTATGTGCTATATGTGTTTTGCTTAACAGATTGTCGCAGACAAGAGCAGTAATCTCTGGTGTGCATAGGCCTTAAAAAGTCTAACTGACTTGTATTAACATCAGAAAATCAGAGTAAATTATAGTATAGAGAGCTTGTATTACATCTTAACATTATATATGAAAATAAAATATTTATATTATAAAATGGTATTTTTATAGGTTATAGAGTTAAATGGTTCTGCGGAATCAGCAGAGGTATTATTAGATACTGATGGTACCATGTTCTTTAAACCTACTTGTGTTGGTACTTCCTCTAAAAAAAGTTATGGTATTAAAAATGTATCAAGAATACCACTCAGGTTAGTAATTCTATCCCTAATGATACAATATTACACTGTAGTAAGATACAGTTTGTTTACATGTTTATCTATTGAAAGCTGTGGTGGCTCATTGAGTAAGATGTTGGCTTGCTAATCTCAAGATCCTCTGTTTGATCCTGGTGTTGGCTGTGAAAGTTGGCAGGACAGAAGGCTTGGTAGGGTACAACGTATAATCGTTTGGATTGGGCAAAAAATCGAGGTCCCCTGTACACATTGGCATGCATGTTAAAGAACCCTTGGCAGTTGGAATTCAATATAACAGTAGGCCATAGCGCAGCTGTCCCGACAAAATTTCCCTCATAGCACACTGTATGCTCGTCTTCATTAGCCCAGTCGAGTAGAACACGAGGAATTTAAACCCCATTCCATTTCATTTTATCTGTATTATTTATAATTCTATTGTTGAATTTGATCAGGTTTGAGTGGAAATTAAATCATGTTGATGCCAAGTTATTAAAGGTTCACCCTGATTGTGGTATAATACAACCTAATGAATATCAGGTAAGTTCATATATAATTGTAAATATCACTCTCTGTCCATGTATATAATAATATCCACAGACAATAAAGAAATTATGAAATTGGTAGAAACATGACAACTGTTTGAAGGCCGACGTATATACATGTTCCTTTCAGCATAATTAGATCGTCTTTTTAACCCACAAACCTTCTGACAATAGTTTCTGCAAGAAGGGTGCCAAAGCTGTTGACTGCAGATCAGAAACATGTCAGATTCCTGATGTCCCGTGACCGTCTACGCCGTTTTGACCCCACTAGACTACCACCTGTTTCTAAAAATGAAAAAGGAACTAGCTGATCATGTGAGCTGTGAATGACTTTTTTCGGGTGGCTGAAGAAAATTTCTTCTGACCAGTATCCAAGCTTTGCAACATCGTTGGTAAAAGTGTGCACACCTGAAGGAGACTATGTGGAAATATAAAAGAAAACAATCGACTTTGTAGAGGTCTTTCATTGATAGGCTTACAACTTTTCAGTCAGCCCTCAAATTTTTCACATAGAGTATATTCTAATCAATTGATATATATGTATGCACAATCTATAGGCTTCTGCTTTTTCTCCAATTCAGTTTTTCAGAACAGTAGGACTTTAAACTCTATTTTACTTTAATTCCAATCCAGTTTCTGTAAATAAATATTGTTTATAAAAAAAGATATTTATGTAAATTTCAGAGTCAAGTCTGGTCTTTTATTCCAACAACTGAGAATAAGTTTGTAATGAAACCAAATTTGATTGTTTGGGGTCAAGGGTTAACTGATAATTCATCTGGAGGAATGAAAAAACAATTTAAAGTCCGAGCTATTGGTGAAGGGGCTGTTGGAGAATTAAAGGTATTCTATATTTTCTTTGATTGGCATTTAGTAATTGGACATATTAACACACAAGGTACAATTTTATGGATACACACTTAATGGGTTTAATACTAAGCGATGTTTCGACGAGGATACTCTCGTCTTTATCAAGCAAATGATACAGATATGTGAATAGTAGACAAATATATACAGAATATGCAACAAAAATAACAATCAAATACAATTAATACCTTTGATTAATGGGCCATTTACGACTAAACTAACACAGCAGAAACTCTTACATGCTTAAAAGGAGGGAAAACCAATAATTTATAAAGATCAATGTATTAACACTACAAAACTGTTCTTGGGTTATAAGGAAATTAAAAAAAGTTAGGTGGGTTTTTTTTATTTATTATCGCCAATTGTAAAAACAGTTTTTCCTGATTATAGAGTAGACTGTGTTTAAATAGTTTTCAAACTGAATAAAATGGTATATAAGTGTCTTGTATGTAGATTAAAGATACTTTCCCACAAAAGTATTTATCGGGTGGTTATTTCCAATAAAAGTATGGCAGTTTTGGTATCTAAGGAAAGTAGAGACATCAAATCTGTCTAGAAAAATACTGGATTTCTTGAAAATCATCCATGGAGCACGCACAGGACAAAAATGAGAGGTTTGTCACTAATTGGCAGCCTGACGATTAAGTGCTGTCTGCTTGAGTGACGTCAAAGGCTGGATGTGAAGATTGTCTGATCTCTCAGCGTTAGGGAGCGCTTGATGTGTATGTTGATAAACTTGATGGTGAGCGAACTAGGAGAGACTTAAACGAACAACAGTTTCTGAGATAAAAACCGCAGAAAACCACCGAGATTAGGATTCGATATCTATGATAAATGAACAGCTATTAAAGACAACATCGTCTTTTATATGTAATAAAATCTCCTTAGCCTTCACACCCTTGCTAGATACCACGACATACAAGTCACGGGACACAAACATGTCTTCTCTTAATAGATTTTTTATAGCTTGGGGTACTTAAAGAAAGTTTTTTTTATAGATTAATTAGTTTGAATATGTTTTTAGTCCAAATATATTATGAAATCACCCAGTTATCTTTAAGGATTACTGACTCCAGTAGTAATATAGTAATCCTGGTTGGTGTGTGAATGAATTTTGCAAGAAAACTGTTTTAGTAATTACCCCATAATAAACCTTAAAGGGCATAAACCTCTAATTTTTGAACCCTAAACTGTATAAACGTTATATTATAAAGTGAATTATATTCAGTTTTTAAAATAATTATTGTAATTTCTAACCAATTATGTTAGGTGAAATACGTGAACAGTTCAGATTAAACAACCGTTGCCTACTCACTCCATTCTTCCCATTTTTTATTATTATCTTGTCATTTGTGAATCAGCCATTACTAATTACTTCCACATAGTCTCGTAGTATACGTTTTCTTTGTTCATTACAAATGGCACCCAAAACCACAGAATCCACGGCTCGGATAGTGATTATAAAATGTTCTTTGTATCTTAAAGATTTAAAGATTGTATATGAGGATCATGGCAAGATAACATTGATTGAATTAAATGTTTTTAATTTTGAATATTATAGACGATATTGAACTTATAGGTTTAGCTCCCTTAATACAGACATTTTGTATGAGAAGACTATTATTATATTAGTATTAATAGGTTGTATATTATTTACAGGTGAATGAGAATCATTATGATCTAGGTGATATAGTTGTTGGTAGTTCAGCATCACAACATTTAACTATTTATAATAATAGTAACTGTAGTTTACACTTCCGTCTATTAGTTAATCAAAATTTTGAAACACCTCATGCCATGGATGCTGTTAGAGGAGATAAAATAGGTAAGTCAAAATCTAACTTTTTTATAAAACGGACCCTTGGTGGCTCCGTGAGTAAGACATTGGCTCGCTAACCTGGAAGTCCTCTGTTCAATTCCAGTGTTGGCCAAGAAAATTCATCAAGTTTTTCAGTGATGCAGGACAGTGAACCCGGTAAGGGACAAAATGTAGTCATTTGGATGGGATGAAAAACTGAGGTCCTGAGTACACATTGGCGTGCACATAAAAGATCCCTTGGCAGTTGGAATTCTATAACGCCGCTGTCTGGGCAAGATTTCCCTCATTAGCTCAATTGGAGCAGAACAGTAGGATGTTAAATGCCATTTCATTTCATTTTATCAATATTCATCAACTGTTGTTTCATCTCTAGATTTAAAAGAAAACTGTAATCATTATATTTATATTTGGATTATACACTAAAATTCATCGATTGTAGCTATTTGAACTACGTTTTTTATTTGAGGAAACATCATAAAATATACCAAGATTTTATTTTTATAAATTGAAGATATCTTTGTATATTTAGGTTTAGAACTTGAAAATGGAGAAGGTGTTATACCAGCTCGATCTAAACATTGTGTACTAGCTACAGTTAGACCAATCAGACGTGTAGAATATCAATATACTATATCATATCAGCTTCTTACACCACAAGGTAAATATTTTATAGATTTCTTTCTTTTATTCAGCCGTCATCAACTTTTTACCTTTATGTAACTATATATATTGATATTTTAAAATTTAGTATAGGAGATGAAACATGTTAATAATATATACTATTATTAATAAAAATGAAATATATTATTATTAATAGAAAATAGGATATATTATTATTGATAGAAAATAAACTATATTATTATTATAAATAGAAAATAAAATATATTATTATTAATACAAAATAAACTATATTATTATTATTAATAGAAAATAAAATATATTATTATTATTAATAGAAAATAAAATATATTATTATTAATAGAAAATAAAATATAATATTATAAATAGAAAATAAAATATATTATTATTAATAAAAGATGAAATATATTTTTATTGATACAAAATAAAATATATTATTAAAAATAAAATATATTATTATTAATACAAAATAAAATATATTAGTATTAAAATAAAATAGAATAAAATATATTATTATTTTCTTGTCTTATTTACAGGAGGAGAAACAGAATCACAACAACCAAAACATTTATGTCATATCCTTGCAACAGGTGTATTTCCTCTAATGGCTGTAACTGATGCTCGTTGCTATGGTAGTGCTGTTGGTATTAGTAAGAAACAGTTATGGAATCTGTTTTCTTTGGACACGTAAGTAAATTTTAGACTCTAACCATTTCTTTGAAATTGAAAAAACATACTTTTAGTACAATAAGAAAATGAAAATGAAGATCACAGAAAAGAGATCTCTTTAATTTGATATGGTTCTGTGAATAATACATGTAAATTTTTGAATAAAAGTTTATATTGATATATTTTTATATAGGATGAATGTATGCCTAGATTCTGATCCATCAGCACCAGAGTTAATGTATACTATGGCTACAAGACACAGGTAAGATATCATTTTAATAATCACTATATTCAACAAAACCATGACATAAACTACATTGTCTTATTATAGACACTTGAGTAACTAAATAGGAACAAGATTGATTCTAGTATAGATTAAAATACTTGTGCTAGTAAAATGTATTGGATCAACTTACTTTGTTTATATCACAAGAGGGGGGCTGGATTGCCAAATGATCTAATGCATGCACTTTAGATCAAGAGGCGTGGTTTTGAGCCAAAGCTTGTACGTGACAACCTTATGGGTTTTCTCCAGGTCCTCCAGTTTCCTCCCCAGGCGAATTTTTGAAATAAAATTGAACCATATGGCAGTTCCGAAACTACCTAGTTATGTATGAGTCGACATTAAACCCCATTTCTCTCTCTCTGTATCACTAGATAGATTTTACTTTGGTTGAGAATCCAAGTTGAAGGATTATTGTAAGTCCATAGTTTATTTATTGTTTTTATTATAGTCACAATAGACGTCCACCAGTATATACTCGTGCTATCATGGATTTTAATTTTGGAGCTGCACCTTTAAAAAGTGAACCATGTATTGTTAATCTGATGTTTGAAAATACTGGAACAGTTCCATCAGAATGGTGAGATTTTATTATTTGTTGATATGCAAAACTAAGTCTTTGTAGGGTTTAGATTGACTATTCACCTTGTATGCCTCTGTAAGAAATTTATGATAAATTGATTTTGGTAAATTTGTGTTTGTTTTCATTACCTCTGCTTTTTTTTTTGTTCAGGGCATTTTTATTTCCATCTGATTTACGATTAGAGTTAGAATATTGGGCTGAAACAGGTGAATATGATGAAGATGAACTCCATGAGGTTTGTAGTTTATTATACTATTTGAAGTATTTGCTGCACCGTACATAGAATGATTGGAATTCTTTGAAAATAATGGGAGCCGCGGTGACTCGGTGAGTAAGGAGTTTGCTTGCTAGCCTGGAGGTCCCGTGTTCGATCCGGGTCAAGAAAGTTCATCTGGATTTTCCGGCGTGGTTCCCCCCTTGTCCTTGGTGCAGGACAGAGGGCCCGGCATGGAAAAATGTATAGTCATTTGGACGGGACAGAATAACGAGGTCCAGTGTACACATTGGCATGCAGGTAAAAGAACCCTTGGCAGTTGGAATTCGATATAAGAGTAAGCCATATAGTGCTGCTGCCCGGGCAAAATTTCCCTCATAGTGCACTGTATGGCATGTATCTTTCTTTATTAGCCCAGTTCGATGCAGAACAGTAGGACGAACACAGTACCTCCAGGCTAGTGAGCCAACATCTCACTTAGCCACCATGGTTCCCCTCCCCCCCCCCCCCTCCCATAATATATCATTTACATCATCTCTCTGCTGATATGTGTTATATGTGTTCTGATTTAGTTGAGATAATGATTTTATTTTACCCGTTTGGTTTCTAGATGAAAGTTATGGATAATAAACTGTTTACTATAGAACCTAAAAGAGGTCATCTGCAACCAGGAGAATGTCAGACTGTGACCTTCACCTATCAACATACAATGGCTGGCACAGATAGACTTCCTGTTCTACTCAAATTAGCTCAAGGGCGTGAATTATTGGTAAATTGATTAATACAATTACATGGAATGAAAATTTATATAACAAACAAACTTGATACAATGTACTGAATTACATGTAATTACCACAAATTGGCATCATAGAATTAATATTCTAAGTCTTTGCTGGCTTGAGGATTGGGTGGCCAAATGCTTAACGCATGCACCTTAGATCTTAAAAAGGTCGGTTATTGAGTCAAGTGCTGTGGTTTCCATCCTCGCTTCTACGTGTAAAGGAAGAGGGACATCTGCCCAACCTCATGGGTTTTCTGCGCGTCCTACGGTTTCCTTCCACAGCTAAAAAAACCCAACACGCAAGCAAATTATTATAATAAAAGTGAAGCATATTATGTTCATCCTGAAATGACCTAGTTTGTGTCAAGTGGAGGTTAAAACCTGTCTGATAACTTCAGATGACATTATATTTATAAATTCAGTAGGCTACGTATGTATATTATTAAAATATCTACATAGTGTAAGTAATATGTATCTATCAGGATGATTTTGTTTGATAAACTAGACTTAAAAACATACTCCAGTATTCAAATATCGATATTTTTCAGTTAAATTTTATTGGTGTAACTGTAGAACCAGATAGAAAGTATATACATTTCCCTTCTAATAAACATATGTTTACACCCGTTCCTGTTGGTGAAAAAGTTAGTCCTATACAGGTCAGTATTTTTATTTATAAACTCAGTGATATGGGACTGATAGAAAGTTATGTTATTGGTGTATTAGTTATCTGTATAATACAATCATTGTTATTGTTTACTTTTGTATTGTCTATTTCCCAGGAGGGTGGGTGGCCGAATGGTTAGCATGTGCATATTGCATCATAAGGTCTGTCATTGAGTCAAGTAGCGTGGTTTCGATTCCCCGCCCCTACGTGACAACTAGTAGGGTTGCCTGTCCAACCTCATGGGTTTTCTCCGGGTTGTCTGGGTTGCTCCCACTGCTAAAGACCCCTACAAGCAAGTGAATTATTGAAATAAAATTGAACCACAAGTTAGTCCTGAAATGAAATAGTTTGTGTTGAATGGATGTTAAACCCAATTTCTCCTCTGTCTCTCTCTCTCTCTTTTAGAGATTCAAGTTTCATGATATTGCAGTTTGCTATAGATTCAAATTCCCTCAAATGACAGATTTAAATGTTTAAAATTTCAGATTTATGAGTTATATAACGGTGGAGCTGTTTCAGTAAACTATGAGTTTGATTTAACAAGTCTTGCTCTTCTACAACAGGTAAATTTACTCACTATACATTAACTCCATGTATAAAGGTATTATGTTTTCCTATGGTTATATTTAGAATAAATTCTGTCTTGTTAACTATGTAAACTTTAAATCAGATGTAGAAATATAGTCATACTCTGAGTAAAATTTATGTAATAAGTTTAAATTATTTAGTTGTTTATTCAACACTATTATACTTTGGGTAATTTATTTATAGTGTAAATTAGTTGTTTATTGAAGCTTTTTGTCTTATTACTTACAAATTTATTTACAGGAAAACTTTGATCAACCAATATTTGAATGTTTAAATCCATTAGGTGAAATTTTACCAGGAAGATATGTGTCTATAGAATGGAGATTCTCACCTCTTGAAGCTAAAACTTACATGGTATGTTATAGCCATTCAAATACAAAAATCCCCAGTAAAAAATAACAAAGACTCTCTAATATTTGCACAGAATATTTTTGTGTACTGCCAACTTGAATCATTTCGTAAAATCATTACAAGTGTTATATTGATGATATATTAAAGGTTGATGTACCTATAAGAGTATGTGGTGGTGAAACAGCTATAGTAACATTTACTGGTGTAGGCTATGATAAAAGAGTTATGGGTGATACAATGCCAATAACAGAGCAACAAGATTTAACAGGTGTACCTAGTATACAGAGTGTACCTGTACCAGGACAGGTAATATTTACGTTAATATCATTATAAGTTACTATCTTTAACCTTTCATTATTTTAATCTTAGAATACTGAACATACAATGTCTGCGTTGATATTTACATTTTCATACCTGTATCCAATACCCATAGAATAGAAGAGAGTGATACAGTATGTAGAATATGTTTATTATCCTGTGCCAAACAAAGTTAGGGAGGGATATTGAAATGGGCTCCGCCCATCTGTCTTGATTTCATTTCCGGAGGTTACTGTGATCAGAGTATGAATCTTCTGATTAGTCCCAATGATATTCCAAAAAGTTATTTTTCCTTATGCCTTCCAAACAAGTGCAAGAGTGCTGGATGGTGATGACCCATCTTGTTTATTTTCTTTTTAAAGAAAAACATGATTTGGATCACATATTGTATAATTTAAGATCTGAAATCAAAACTGTTTACTAATTTTAGATGTCAAATATTTTTTACTCCTGATCGCAAAGGTGAAAAACATTTTACTTTTGTATTTGATGGTGTCTCAAGTTATTGTAGGTTTAGATATATATAATATTATTTTAGCTGGCCTACTTGTCACAAGAACGGATCACCTTTGGTAATGCTCCGTTATTCAGTCGATCTAGAAGAATTGTATTTGTGATGAACAAGTCTAAAGAGAAGAGTATATTTTTTGAATGGCATGTAACAAGTCCATCAGATAGTCAGGTAAATGATGTATAATTATAAACTAGTATAAGATACAAATACACCATATTTTATGTTATGGTAGAATAGATTAATTAAAGTCATAGTTAAACAGTTAATGATATATAATCCTATTAAAAAGTCCGTGGAAATTTAATTTTGTAGATAAACATTATAGACATTTAAAACAGTTCAGTAAAAGAAATTAATTATTTCCTCAGAAAAAAATGAAGATTAATTTATTTTATGATTATTTTTTTCAGTTTTTGTCCATCTTCCCTTTAAAAGGTTATTTAGAAGCTGGTGAAAGTCAAATGTGTCGTGTTTCTTTCTTAGCTTCAAACACTCCATCATTTTATGATCTTGATCTCATATGTCAGGTGGGCATTTCAATTATTCATATATTTCTGAATGAATATATTTTTTTTTTAAGTGTAATGTGACAATTCTCCATTTGTACTCCCCTCACATTACGCAGAATTTAAAGTAAATAAACCAAAAAACATAAAGTGACCTATGTATAGAAAGATTCTTGTTCTGGTTTTTATTATCCTGTTCACTATAAATGGTTGAAACCATTCAGCTTTATTTCCCTGTACAGTCTTACATTTATACTGTGCAGTCTTAAATTTGTATTGTACAGTCCGATATCTATTACCTAGTTATAGTCTTATTCGTACACAATTTAATATTTATACCTAGTAGTCTTATATTTGCATTGTACAGTCTGATATTTATACCTTATTATAGTATTATATTTGTACTGTACAGTCTTTATATTTATACACAGTCTGATATTTATAGCTTATAGTCTTATATTTGTACTGTACAGTACTAGACTTGGTATTTATAGTCTGATATTTGTACACAGTCTTGATATTTATACATTATGATATTCTCTGTATTTTTATTATTAAATTTGATATTATTGTTGACAGATAACAGATGAACATGAAATGAAGAAATATAGGAAGAAATTAGCTGACTGGGAAAAAGAGCTAGAAAGACAGAAAAATGAATTTACCATAACAGAGAATGATTTAGATGCTGATAAACGACTTCTAGATTCTCCTCATACAAAAAATGTAAATAGTCTTTATCAAATGAGTTTATTCCATTAGAAACTATTTCAAAATTCATAATTTGTAAGAGTTACCATGATTACTTTTCTTTAAAGGACACATAAGATGGGCGAAAAAACTTTTCAGTATTTTAAAAAATTGAAACTAACCACTTTTCACTTCTTTTGTTTATGTAGCTATATAGTTTATGTATCTATAGTATATATAATATGTTATTGTTTATGTATATAATATGTTATTGTTTATGTATGTAATATGTTATTGTTTATGTATGTAATATGTTATTGTTTATGTATGTAATATATGTTATTATTTTTTTAGGTTGTAAGTGATCGAGCTACACCTGATGGAGAAATCAGTAAATACAAGGTAACAAATTACATTAAATCCTACCTTTATTACACATCCTTATTCTATTGTTTCCATGGCTGAAATAATTTGGGGGGTGGGGGCAAGGGGCTCTGTCATTGAGTCAACTGGCATGGTTTTGATTCCCCTGTTGTATGTAGGGTCGCCTGTCCAACTTCGTATGTTAGTCTCTAAATAACCTAGTTTGTGTTGAGTGGAGTTAAACCCCATCTCTCTCTCTCTCTCTCCCTGAAATAATTTCTGATCAACTATACCCCCTCTATTTTATATTCCTGTATTTTATATTTTTAACTTGTAGACTTTGCCTCCAATTCAAAAGAAAACATCTGATGTGATGTACAGATCAGAGAGAAGACAGAGAAAAAAGGAGAAAGAATTATGGGCAAAACCAGTCTGTCCACCTCCATTCTTACTCCATTTAGGTGTGACATCTAGAACACATGGTATCCTAGATTTCCAGAACAATTTCCCACATGATTATAAAAAGTTCCATATTGATCGGTTAGTTTGTGTTAAATATTTATGTAGTTATAGTATGGGTTCTATTGGCCATTTTCTTAATTTATGTAGTATACCTTCCTACACTCTTCAGTTGTTCAGTATGTGTAGGGCCTGGCAATGAACAACGTCTAGTCCAGGGGTGTCAAACTCATTTCGATTAAGGTGCCACTGAACTAAAATTTTACATCAAGTGGGCTCGAGATATACAAAAAAATCAAGATAAAGAAAATTTTATTGATTTATTTGACTAAAATCGTTATATATTATAATGCAATACAATAGTTTGAAATGGACCAACTTATATGTCTATGACATACAGTACAGAAGTCAGAGTTTTACTGAAACCAGAAAACAATAATAAATGATTTCCAATGCTAGTTTCTAAGAATTATCCATGAGCCACATGTAAACCCTTGGCGGGCCGCATGTTCGACATCCCATGTCTAGTTGTTAGGGTGGTACAATATAACGAGATCCCATGTACACGTTGGTATGGACGTAAAAGAACCATTGACAGTTGGAATTAGATGGAGAATAGACAGAAAAGCCGCTGTCAAGGCAAAATCCCCTTTGTAGTACACAGCATGCATATGCCTGTCTTCATTAGCCCATTTTGTATGATTTTATGTAGTGTTTTGTATATTATAGAGTTATCAGTAAGAAATGTAAACAAGAGAAGAAGAATGATGATGTAATAGAGAAGATAGAATGTAGTCAAGGTGAAGCAGGTGTTATACAAGGTGTTATGTGTAATGTTCTCAGGTATATAAATATTCTAAATAATTTAATTATATTATGGTCTTGTATGTCATTCATAAGTGGTGGTTTCGAATCCCCGGTTGTATGTGACAAGGAGTAGGGTCGCCTGTCCAACCTCGTGGGTTTTCTCCTTCGGTTTCCTCCCACTGCTAAAGACCCCTACGCACAAGCGAATTATGTAAATAAAATTAAACGATATGTTAGTCCCGAAATGACCTAGTTTGTGTCCAGTGGACGTTAAACCCCATTTCTCTCTCTTTCTCTCATAAGTGGTGCTGGCCCAGAAAGTTCTTCAGGATTTTTCCAGCATGGTTTCTCCCCCATGTTTAGTAGTGCAGTATGGAGGTCCTGGCAAAGGACAATGTATAGTCGTTCGGATAGGACAAAAAACAGAGGCACATTGGCATACACATCAAAGAACCCATTGAAGTTGGGATTCAATATAACAGTCCGGGCAAAATTTCCCATAGCCCATTTTATTTCTTTTAGAACTTTCATTATATTCATTAATTTATGTATATTTATCTACAGAGGATTACTGGATGATGCCTACTTTGTTGAAGCAATTAAAAAAGTAATCAAAGAACCAATTCCATATTTCCGTCAATTTGGTGACCGACCCAGTACAGCTCGAACACAAGCATCTGATCAACACAAAACTGATATCATTGTGGAAGATATTACGTCAAGTACTCCGGATGAAGGGGAGAGAACTCTATCACAAACCAGTCAACACAGTCAGGATGTAGAATCAGTAAGTTTTTAATTGTATGATTTGTTATATCCTATATATATCTAGGTATAACTTGTCTTTAATCTTGGGGGGTTGGTTTGCCGAATGGTTAGCGCATTGGCATTCAATCATAAGGTCTGTCATTGAGTCAACTGGTGTGGTTTCGATTCCTCGGTTGTACGTGACAAGGAGTAGGGTCGCCTGTCCAACCTCATGGGTTTTTCTCTGGGTTGATTTGGTTTACTCCCACTGCTATTAAAGAACCCTACAAGCAAATTATTGAAATAAAATTGACCCATATGTTAGTCCCGAAATGACCCCATTTCTCTCTCTCTCTCTTTTGTCTTGAATGTTAGAGATGAAAAAATATGAAATGTTTCAATAAGGCATTTTTGAATACTACTATATAAAACATAAAACAACTGTTTTTTTATAATATTTTCTGCCCCAATTTATTGATATACAGCTTATCAAGTATAAGCAGTTTTAGCAGTGCCATACTTCCCTTATCTACTATAATACTAGAAAGCCAGGTTTTGAGTAAGACATTGGCTTGCAAACATGGAGGTCCTGTTGTCAATCCCTGCAAAATTTCATTGCACACTGCAAATCATTTACCCATCTTCATTGAGCAGTCAGCGCAGAAAAGTAGGATTTTAAACCCTATTTCATTTCTATAATAAGACGTTGAACTTGTATGTTACATATTGTTTAATCATGTTTGGAATTTTAACATTTAAAGTTGTACATGAATGCAGAAAAGAACTAAAAACATTAGATACAATATTTACAAGGAGGAAACAAACGCAAATTTAGAAAATGAAATGAAATGAAATGGGGTTTAACGTCCTACTGTTCTGCTCCTAACCTGGTAAGGCTGTGCAAAAATATCGATGTAATCGATAATCGGTAGAAGTTATTTAGGGATAGGATAATCGATATTGAAATTCAAATATCGATTATCGGTATATTTACCTTCTGACGGCAAGTTACGGTCACTTTCACATGACTGAACTTGCCGTAGTCTGGCATGCAGACGAATGAACGAATACACAACGTCAACACAACAACTATTTCCCCCCTCTGCTTACAAACTGGCACATTTTAAATATATATTATTGTAAAAAAACTAAACTTTAAGATTAAATACATTATTTTAATATTTTCGTTGTTTTTGTTGTTATTACTAGTTGAAACTAAACACGCACATTGTGAACAATGACGATCGCACGTGATATAGTAAAATTAGAATTATCTCCCTTCTTTGCTCTTGATTGATTTGTAGAGAAATTGTCTGCTTTCACGATAAAACTAATTGTATTATTAATGATCAACTCAGCTTTTATTACTAAATCATGTCAGATACAGCCCATACAAAACACGTTTTTGACTTCCCGGGAAAATATCTATATCTCTCGTAATTTCTTGGAAGAATTCTACTTTGGTTTTCGTCAAAATTAACCAATCATAAAAATTCTACTTTGAAAGCCGGTAATTTTTTTTTTTTTATTGTCCAATCAATAGACGCCTTCTATTATATTTTATTCTATTATTAGTAACACTGTGTGATCGCCAGTAACTTGCAAAGAGAAACCATGTATTGTCTTTGTATTTATCGGAGATATTGGAATAAAAAAAAGGTTCAAATGAATCAAGAACAAAACTTAGAATAATACTCAAGTTAATCCTACATTTAGCAACTAATTATTTTACATTAATTGATTTTTTTACGTACATCGGCACAGTATTAGACTAGGATAATAACACTACTGTAACTCGATCAACACAAATAACAGGTCGGTAAAGTTCGGTTTTTCCGGAAGAATGATAATCGATTATTATCGATAATCGCTGACAAATTCTTGCCGATAATCGATATTGAAATTTCATATCGATTCCCAGCCTTATAACCTGGGCTATTGAAGACCTGCATACGCCATAAAGTGTGCGTTGAGGGAAATTTTGCCCGGGCAGCGGCACTATCGCCTACTCTTATATCGAATTCCAACTGCCAAGGGATCTTTTACGTGCATTCCAATGTATACAGGGGACCTCGGTTTTTCGTATCATCCGAACGACTAGACAGCTGTCCTTGTCAGGCCCTGCGTCCTGCATCACTGACAAGGGGGAACCACGCCGAAAAATCTGGATGAACTTTCTCGGCCAATGCAGGGATCGAACACCCGACCTCCAGGCTAGCGAGCCAGCGTCTTACCCACTTAGCCACTGATCCAAATTTAGAAGGCATGGCATTAAGAAATGTCACATAGCAGAACACTATTATAGTGTTATATATTTTATAATAGAATATAAAATAGAGAAGTAAATGATTATCTTTTTGTTTGTTTTATATGTTGCTAACTATTGTTTATATATTATATAGGCATCTGCTGCTAGTAGTATACATTCACCAGAACCAGTGAAGACACCAGAGAGTGAGACTGGTTTAACAAAGGCTACAGACAGTACAGATCTACAAAATAAACAAAAACAAACATTGAAAAAGTAAGTCTTTTTTAAATTCATATTGCTGTATATAAAAAACAATTATTTTGAATCCAACATGACAGTTGAAGCCAAAGATGTCAATATTTTTAATAATCTTAAAGCTATGTTTTGTATGAGAAATAGTCAGATTCTATGTTAGAAAGGTGCTATATACATTCCTTGTATGTTACTGGTTTACATTGTTTTTATAATAGTAAAATTAAACATTGTTTTACAGATTACCACAAGTGGGAAATATGTTAGAATCTGTTCTAGAGAACTCACTGTTTAATATCATGTCTGAAGCTCTAGCACAGGAATTTAATATTACAGCACGTCCAAGATACATCGCACTACCAAAACGTCCCAACTCGTCCAATAATCGCTCAAACAAAATATAAAATCATCATTATTGTCTTTCTTTCATCTTATTACTGATAACAGTCTATTCATTGAAAAATATCTTTTGCTAAACTCTAAAAATATTTTCCTTTAATGGTAAATGCTGCAAACTCTAGACTGATATACAACTGTATAAATTTTGAAAAACTGTGATATAAAATGTATATTTGTATAAAATAATTATATTGTATTATAAGATATTATATAGATATAAGTTTATTTATTTTCCATTATCAATTGTGTGATATCAATATATATATATATTACTTTTACATTAATAGGGTTTTCTGTAACCTGTTCTCTTGAGCCAAATTATTTTTATTGATTGCATTCTTTTTGTCAGCCAAACTGATTTTCACATGAACAAGGCAATATGACATGTCCGACTACAGTACTTGACATTGCTAGATGCATGTTGCTTTGTTTTAACTTGGACATTTTTTGTCAAATACTATTAAAGTTATTTTGAAAAGTTTCATATATAAAAAAAGAAAGTGAACTGTGGTATAAAAGCAGTTATTTTGTATAAAATAAAACAGTATTAAGTATAAATACTTTAGCCAGGCCTGCTAGATTACAGAGCCGTTATGTCAATTAATTTACAGCATTATTTGATGGAAAAAGTTGAAATGTTGGCTGGTTTTCCACTTCTTCTGAAAATGTCAGCATTTATATTTTATATACCAGTAGTTGAAAAAAGGAATAATCCACTTGATGCTATTAAGTTTTATTTATTGTGGTTTATTTCATTGTTTTATGTGATATTAACATTCCTTTTGTCTTCAAATATTTTATTTATATACATCTCAAGTATATGAATATAAACGGGTCCAGATACTTTGTTTTATCAGAAGACATATTGGATTAAATACATTATAATTTGTTAATTAATGAAACTGTCCGTCCTATTTAAAATAAACTGGTTCTATTTATTCTATAAAACCTGTTCATCCTGTTTTATATATTTATATGTGTTATTATTTATCATATATAGTAAAATGTAACTATTTATCTTTTGTTGTATTATATTTTAACTACCTGATTAGTATAATATCAATGACATCCACCAACATTACCTTAGGGAATTGTTGCCTTCATCTATCTTCAGCTGGAAACCAAAACATTCAGGCTTTCACAGTTTTATTAAAGGGGCATTATGGGAGATTAGATAAAGAGTTGACGGTTTGGTAATATCCAAACCGAGACCAAACCGAGTATCTGACAGTTGGAATTCGAAATAAGAGGGGTGGGGGTTATTGTGGTTTAACGCAGGCATGTGAAAACACATGGTTTGTCATTGAGTTAAGTGGTGTGGTTTGGATTCCCCCTGGCATGTGATGAGTAGTAGGTTCACCTGTCCAGCATCGTGGGTTTTCTCCGGGTCCCCTGGTTCAGTTCCACTGCTAAAGACCCCTATGCGCAATCGAATTATTGAAATAAAATTGAACAATGTCAGTCCCGACGTTACCCACTCCCCCCACTCCCGAAATAACATTATTCCGCTGTCCAGGCAAAATTTCCCCCGTAGCACACTGTATGACCCATGTCCGTCTTTATTAACCCAGTCGGTGCAGAAAAATATGAAACCCCATTTCATTCTTATCAAAGATGCGTGTCACTATCAGTAATACTGGGACATGTCATAAGGAGGGTTACGTATCGTGACAGTTGATACTGTGATTGGTACGTCATTAAAAGGTATAAAGCTTTAATATTTATAGCAACAAATAACAATGTAAATATTTTCATCAAAATAATTAAGCTTAGTCTGATATATAGACCATAAACAATACAAATTAGATTTTTAAAAATACTGTAAAAATTCGAGAATAGTTTAATGATTTGCCGTAAGAATTTAAAAATACAGTATTTATTATGATAATAGAGATTTGCCAGAACTGGAAAAAAATCAATTACAAAAATATGAAATAATATTTACAAAACAACATTACACACTAAAGCCAATAAAATAACCATATAATAAAAAAACCAAGACAAGCTATCATGTCGAAAGGTACAACTATTTTAGTCGCCTATATTTAGAAATAAACCAAGACTAATGATCCAGTGAAGCATTCCATGCCTGTTTCTGTCTTTTGTTTTTGGCTGCTGTGTCCATAACGGCCAACGACACTCTCCTCGGCGTCTCCAGTGGCTTAGACGGCTCTTTCGGCTGCCCCGAAATAGGCTGTTTGTCCAGTGGTGTAGCCGATGCTCTTCGTTGCCCAAAATTCCGCCTTTTGTCATATAGTGGCCTATCTTGTTCTGTCATTCCGTTTGGTGTTAATGATGAATGCTGCTGTCCAGTAATTCGCTTTGCATCCAACGACGTATTTGTTGGGTTTTGTTCAATATCCATTGAGTCCAATAATTGTGTATTTAACGATCTTCTCCGCTTTGTTTTCATTTGTTCAAGCGACGATCTTCTCTGTTCTTCAATTTGTATTACATCCATTGGAGACCGTGATGACTTTCTTTCGTCTGTATTCTTGGTTGGGTCCATTGAAGAAATTGGCGAAGATCGCTGCTCCGTATTTAGAATGGTTTCTTTTGGAGAAACTAATGATTCCCTCGGCTCTGGGATCTGTGCTGTATCCATTGGAGATATTGACGACCTCCGATGCCTGCCAATCTGTAGAATCTCGGCTGAAGACAGTGATGACCTTCTCTGTTCTGTTATTGGCAACGTTCCCTCTGGTTTAAGCATTGATCTTCGTTCCCATGAAATCTGCGGCGTTTCCACAGAAGAACGCCTGCCTCTTGCATCTTCTGTTGTTCTGGCCAGTGGAGATATTTCTCTACGCCGTCCTCTTATTGCGTCCATGGGTGAAAGCGATGACCTTCTTTGTCCTGGAATTTCCAATGTGTCGTTTGGTGAAGCAGATGATCTACGTCGATCAGAAATCTGCATTGTGTCCATTGGTGGCACGGATGATTTACCTTCTCCTTCCAACTGCGTTGTATCTAATGGACTAATGGAGGATCTACGTCTCCCTCTATCGACACTAACAGACAACCTGGACATTGTATTCTTAACTCTAAAAAATAAAAATATGTTAAAAATACACACAATCAGTTTTAAAAGACGCTGTCCATATAAGATTGATTTTATGTCCATTGTTCCCGTAGCTGCAGTCGTGGAATCGACACGAACGTTTGATCTAACAAAGTTTACGTGGCACAAGAGGACATTATACGTGTTCATATTTAATCGAAAGAATATTATAATTTACACTATGTATTATTAAAATCTAAAGTGGCTGCTTCTTGTTTTAAAGTGTATTTTGAAGGTTTTGTTTTTAGATCCCATTTCTTTAGAAATCGAATGCCATTTTATTAGGATTTGTCTCGAAAGTAAATATTATTTGCTATATTAAGATTTTGATTGGGTGGTTTCAGAATATGATTACACATCTATTGTTTTAAAAGGAATAGTTTTAACAAATGCATTCTTTGGTTCACTTGGCTTATAATGAATTTTTGACATAAAATATCATAACTACCTGTACATTGTTTTATTTACCAAACCATCATCGTCTGTTTTACTGTAAAATAATTTTAAATATTCTCTCAACATTACATTAAAATAACATCTACAAATGACCACGTTAAGATGCATTATGGTAAGATTTAGATATAGAGCTGGCTGTTCTGCTATAATACTTCAAAAATAGATAATGGAAAATGAATATATTAAAAATTTAATTCAAATTATTTTATTCTGAGCGACGTTATCACTTCTAAGTTAAATCACTAAACGACAACCGTAGTTTAATCCGTTTGCATCTGCGCCGTCCGATGTTCTAGAGAGTTGATTATAGGCTGGTCACGTGAATAAATGTCTAAATAATAGTTTATATAACATTTTTAAGCCAAAATAAAGACCTGTAATAGGCAGATTTATCTCTTACATAATGTATCTTTAAAACACGTTAGTTTCAAAACCCAACATTTTATATCACAAACCCATTAAACGATATGTTACATAACTTACCCATTTCCAAATATCTTCTCAAAATCAGAAGTCCTGAAACAAAATCAAATCATATAAACATGCTATTCCTATCTTCAAATAAACCAATTAGTCTTGTCATTGAATGGCTATATTGTGCATATTAATATAATCCTTGGTTGTTCTTTTATATTTAATATATTAACAAAATATCTAGTCGTTCAGATGGTATTAAACAAAATGTCTAGTCGTTCAGATGGTATTAAGCAAGGTATCTAGTCTTTCAGACGGTATTAAACAAAATCCGTACAGACGGTATTAAACAAAATGTCTAGTTGTTCAGATGGCATTAAACAAAATGTCTAGTCGTTCATAAGGTATTAAACAAAATTGGTTTAGATGGTATTAAACAAAATGTCTAGTTGTTTAGATAAGAATAACTTACAAATGATCATGTTGTGTTGTATCTAGTATTAAACTGTTGTAGGTAATAATTATTATAACAGTTAATACCAACAAAAATACGGATGTTAAACCATTTAATAACCATTCAGCATTCTGTAATAGAAATAATTACAATCTGATTAAAATACAGATCTATATTTCGTTTCATTTTTTATATTTTCGATGGCCTACACAACATGAAGATGTGACCACTTGTACTGGAAGGTCACATCTGGGGTCGTACGAGCGGCTTTTGACCCTATGACGTCAGACATTGATTAACCAATCAGCGTTGACGTTTCTAGTGGCTTACTCACAGTTCCGTGCATCGCACGCCAAGAAGTCGCCGTAACAGATGGTTTCATTGGCTGATTCCTCACGCCACCCAGAAAGCAAGTTATATAACAACTCTTCCAGATCATAGTGTAGTATGGACAAATTAAACAAAAATTTGAACTTTAAAAAACGAAACGAAATAGGATCTATGTTTTAATCAGATTGGAAATGGTTAGATAATTAAAGGACCATAAAAGGGCAGTTTGTCCAATCTTAATATAGCTTAGTGGTCACGACAAGCTTTAACAAGATGCACGGTGTTTTAATTTCATAAAAAAAAAGGTGACCCAGTCAACGCTATCAAAATATATTGAAACAATTTAACAATGTACTCGTCATTTCTTTAACTTTCCTATGCTAAATGATACAATAACTATATTTACCTCAAAATCAGCAAGCTGGTGACAGAAACCATAAACAACAGAATGATATGCATCAGAAAGCGGTTGACATAAACCTATCTCTCCATTAACCTATAATAATAAAGAAAGAAATGAAATGGGGTTTAACGTCCTAATTTTCTGCACTGAATGGGTTAAATGAAATGAAATGGGGTTTAACTTCCCACTGTTCTGATCCGACTGGTCTAATGAAAACGGCTGAATGGGTTAAGATCATAACTATTCGAGACTAAAATCATGAAAACGGATGTATTAATGTTGGTTTATGCCGTTGTTCATGATATCAACGCCCACTCCAAGACCTCTGTCAACATGAATAACATTGCTGCCAAGAGAAACCAATAACTAAAACCGATGTGAAGTAGGTCTAAATCATTTCTGTGACAATTTGTCACTCCTGACATGTTATCTTTAACAACTCAATGGAGTTTAACGTCCTACTGTTCTGCTCCGAACTGGGCTAATGAAGACGGGCTTACGCCATACAGTGTGTTATGAGGGAAATTTTGCCCATACAGCAGTATGGCCTACTCTTATATCGAATTCCATCTGTCAAGGATCGTTTACGTGCATGCCAATGTGTACACGGGACCTCGGGTTTTCGTCCCATCGAACGACTAGACAGCTGTCCTTGTCAGGCCCTCCGTCCTGCATAACTGAAAAGGGGGAACCACGCCGGAAAATTTGGAGGAACTTTCTCGGCCAATGCAGGGATCGAACACCCGACCTCCAGGCTAGCGAGCCAGCGTCTTACCAACTTAGCCACCGTGACCCCGACCTAATGAAACAACTTACCCATTCCAGACTCTTGTCGCTGAATTTTGGTAAGACTTGCATAAAATCTGATCTATATTCGTCAACTCCCTGTAAGATACCACATAATACTGTATTACACATACACATGCTCATTCGACTATATCGCGACATTTATATGCATAATTATAAATATGTGTAAATTCCGACCTTCGAAAATTATTTAACGAATCTGTTGATAGGCCTGCAACGCAGAAAAATTTACCGTGTCTGCATTTAAGGCTTATATGTCAATATGTACATGATGTCTTGTATGTGTGTTTGTCGTACTGGTTTTCTGGTCTTGTAATTGATTTTTGCATTGTCATCTTCCTAAATATAAATTTAAATAATGTACCTGTTTTATATATCGTGATGATTCATTCCACAGTTGATCTTCAGCATCCAGTAAATCACTGATTGATTGATTAATCCGTGTCTAAAACATAAACAATATTATTATTTGTTTAATTGCGGTCCACAATGAATAATTCCGAAGAACTTACATCAAACACCGGAATCGAACCCAGAAACTCCTGATTAGCAAGCCAACCCTTTATTCACCTAGGCACCATGGCTCCCTGAATAATGGCCAACTGACCACTGTACATCAAACGCATGCAGGGCAGAACATTTGGGAGTTTTGAAGACCCCCCCCCCCCCCAACAAAACAATTAATTAGGCCCATAGTCGATTCTGATTGGCAGGACTAACCATGACGCAATTTCCATAAACACATAAATATAAACTGTACCTTTACTTCCCTAATGTTTTCTTGAAAGTCATTATATAAAGTTTCCATTTTATCCTGAAATATAAAAATGAATGTCGACAAATTAACGATATAGATGGTTAATAGTAAACTGATGAGACCTAGTTGTATCAGTAGGTCTTTCAAGAGACATCTACACATATCCCTGCTTGTGAGAACATTTCTACTTTATCACGCTCTTCCCTATCTAATGGAGTAGAATGTTAAACTCCCTTTCATTTACAATGCTTTTCTTGCATATCTAACTGCTCCCGTGTACACATTGGCGTACACGTAAAGGATCCCCTGGCAGTTGGAATTCGATATAAGAGTAGGCCGTAGCGCCGCTGTCTGGGCGAAATTCCCCTCATAGCACACTGAATTTCCTGTTAGGTCAGTCGGAGCAGAACAGTAGGCCGTTAAACCCCCATTCCATTTTTACGTCTAACTGCAGTTAGATCCAGTTTGGCAATTAAAGATTTATAGTATTGTGTAATTTGTCTATATTATGTTGTACAGCTTTCTTAAATGTTTTAATAGACAATAATATAAACAAGTAACCAAATGACAACATTTTCAGCCATTGTGCTTACCTAATGCTCTAACGCAAAAATCCCACCCTCTAAATAACACTTACCTTGACTATAGTAGCTGAATCTATCAGTGGTTTCCATGATGACAGGTGATCGGCTACTTCAATCAGTTTACTCTGAAGTGAAATACACAAATACATAACAATAACACATTACATAGTGTTGCCAGGCAACGAATATACACCAACTGGGAATTTTCTGAAGGGTGATAAGTTCGTCAAACTATGTTGATGCAAGTCAGTCACCACCAGTAAAGTCGTCGACATAATTACAACGAAAGTCAACTTTCATTTTGAAATATGTCTCAAGCTTTTCGAAAGTTTGAAATTCAGCGGGGTTCATCAGATTTGATAAACGTAGGAATATCTGATTGAAAATTTTTCAATATCGATAGGGTTTCCCCTTAGCGCGTTTATAAGATTTCGGTAATGGGGATTCTTAAATATATTTCAATACAGAACGATTCTTACTTTAGCTGGATTTCGTGGTCCACCATTAGCTATTGATGTGTTAGCAACATATCTGAGATTAGCAACAAATGTATCTAAATCTGCATTAATGATGGTCTTGTTAAACTGAAATATAATAAAATGAATAGTGCATTTACTTCACAGTCAGTTCATTCACTAAAATCATATTTTTTCTGTGTTCATAGAATATTTCTAAAAGTTGTAACCCAAGAAACTTTGACGGGTTGGTTATTTTTAACGCTCGTTCACGTTTTAAATATGAAAGGAAAAAAAAGCCGTACCAAATCTGTAAATGGCTGTGTATCGAAGGACGTGACAGTGGTAAGTTTCTGGAACCAAGGTGAAAGACGAGGAGGTATCAATGTTACATTATTTAAATCTATATACATATCATCAAATACCTCATTTATATCATTCAAGTACTGAAACACAAATAAATCATACCTTTAAAGTACAGAATATGAAATAATAATTTAGGAAGTGGGCTTATTTGGCTACTATCAACAAGTGGTGAATTAACAGAATTAAGTATATCTATAAGAACACACTATAAATAAATTACATATTTCTGAAACATCACAGAAAAACGCATGGAAAACTGTTTCCAAGTCCAAGAATTTATTAAAACGTGACCTGTACAGAAGACTCATACTGCCTATGCGTCTATGACTATAATCTTTGCCTACGATCTTGATATATATATATATGGGGAAATGTTAAATAAACCCATCTACCATTGTTTAGAATTAAAGGATTCAATAAGCACACCTATGATTTATCAGGATGTAACATTTAAAAAGAATATCAATTACTGTCATACAACATGGACGGGCTAAATGTCAATGTCAACAAAAACAATTTTTTTACCTTAGCTATATCAAGATCATCTTTAAGTTTTGGTGAAACTAAATTCTGTCTCAGAGCAGTGTATGCTGGTATGTTATTCTTACACTGTCTGCAAAAAAAAATCAAAGAGAGACTAAAAACAAAACAACGATATAATCTTAAACCGGCAACTTATCTCAGCAGATGAGATAAACTAAAATCAAAGAATGACTTTGCTATAATATTAGTTATAGGCTTACGCCTCATTACCGACAACTTTGCCCAGCAGATGAGATAAACTAAAATCAAAGAATGACTTAGCTATAATATTAGTTATAGGCTTACGCCTTATTACCGGCAACTTAATCCAGCAGGGGCCTGTTTCACAAAATCTTAACTAAAGATAAAATCCAAATTTTAGTAGATACTTCAACTTTGATTGGCTAAGGACTAAAATCAATTTAATATTATCCAATCAAATTACTAAAATTTGGATTTTATCTTAGTTAAAATTTAGTGAAACAGGCCCCTGATCAGATAAACTAAAATCATCTAAATTAATGTTGTCTCTTTCTGTTGCATATCCTGCAGTCTGCCGTCTCTTCTATTTTCTCGATAATTAAATACATACATGGGATTAAAGAACACTCTTTAAAAATCACCAGGGAACATGAGAAACTGAGGGATTGTGGGATAGACCAATAGGGAGAGATGGGGTTTAACGTCCAATCAACATAAACTAGGTCATTTGAGGACTAACATATGATACAGTTTTATTTTAATAATTCGCTAGCGCGTAGGGGTCTTTAAGTTACTTTAACAGTGAGTTGAAGGAAGTCGGGGAACACGGAGAAAACCTATGAAGTTAAGCAAGCTACAATTCTAGGACGAAATTTCATAGGAGTTCAAACATCATTCAAATATGCATCTACGACAGGATATAACTGTATAAAAATCTAGTCACTCACCGTAGAATATCAGATAGTTTCAGATCAAACGCTCCATTACCTAGTACAACAGATCCCATATAATAACCTGGATGTCCGGGTACTGTGTGCGGAACATCCAGCACCTGCAAAACATAGTTTTCCGCAAATACATTACATGTATATTGTTGAACCTTGTAACTATCCCAAAAAAATCAAAAGCAGAAATCAAACAGAAACAAGCCAAAAATGAGGCTGATGGCGCACGCCGATATCCCAAAATAAATAGATAACATATAAAAATTAATTGTACATTTATCTTTCTGAAAGTATCATGCAGTCAAACGGATTACCTAATCTTAGTCTAAGCAGATAATGTTCAGGATCGAACTCAGTCAAAGTTCATCACTATCCCCCAAATTCGTAAACCTAACCCTAAACCTAGTCCTAACCCTAACCCACAATCTCGTCAAAAATCACGTACCCTAACCCTATTTACATCTGCAGATGGCCTTAATATTAGGATCTAACCATTTCTGAAGGGGAGCCACTGTGACTCAGTGGGTAACGTTGACTAACCATTAGGTCCTATAGTGGAGAGTTCATCGGGATTTTCAGGCGAGGTTCCCCCATGTCAGTGGTGCAGAGACAACAAAAACCGAGACCCCGTGTACATGCAAAAGAACCATTGGCAGTTGGAGTTCGAAATAAAAGTGTGTGGTAGCGACTGTCCGCGGCAAAATTTCCCTCATATCATAATTGCGTATGCCCGTCCTTATTAGCCCAATTGGAACAGAACAGTAGGACGTTAAACCCAATTTCATTTCATTTCATTCTATTTCAAAACATGAATCTAAATTTTTAAATTTGCTATGTTTTGTGACACGCTGATTGTATATGGTGGACAGCTAATGTCATTTAATACAGCCTATCTTTGCCTATTCTCATCAGATCAGGTTACTAAAAGAGATGCGAAATATTGCAGCTTTATTGAAAGTCAGTGTCAACGAAATTCCTGCATATTACAGCTTTTGTGAATAATATGAGGTCCTAGAGAATTTAACAATGATGGTAGGGGTGGGTGAATTAATACGACCATGAAAAGCTGCACGTGCATACTTACCCTTTCTACAATGGAGTAATCTTTTCCTGTTTGACAAATAACTCTCTCTAAATTCGCTCCAATATAAAAGCCAGTACTTGCTAGACATGTATGGCCCACAGACAGTATAATACATCCTACTGCACCACTGTAAAACCAACATACAATATGTTCAACAAAGAATGGATATGTGATGAACCATGGCGATTCACCTGCCTTAATGTTCATAATCGCACGTTGGATACTTTTACAATCCTAACATAGGTCGCAACGTTGTTGCTATACTGCCAATAGCGAGGGTGAATGGGGATAATACAAGTGACCCTGGTAACATAAGAAGTTGTTACCACTGACACTAGTAACACGAAGTTGTTAAGGCTGACTCTAGAAACATAGGGAGTTGTTACCACTGACTCTAGTAACACGAAGTTGTTACCGCCGACTCTAGTAACATAAAGAGTTTCACCACCGACTCTAGTAACACGAAATTGTACCACTGGCTTTAGTAACATAGACGTTGTTACCACTGACTCTAAAACATAAGACGCCGTTGCTATTGAACCTTTTAATATACGGATATGTTGCTACTGACCTTTGTCTGCGATATCACCCAAGGTGGAAGCGGACGTAAAACCCTGCGAACGAACGAATGCTACTGACCATAGTGACACACTCATTCCTGCTATTGACGCCAGTATTAACATACTCGTTGCGTCTATTGACTACGGCGCAAATTTGTTGATATTAACATAGGAGTCACCGGGGCTCAGTGAGTAAGCCGTTGGCTCGCTAACCTGGAGGTCCGGCGTTCGATCCCTTCGTTGGCCGAGAAAGTTCATCGAGATTTTCCGGTGTGGTCCCAGGACAGAGGGCTGGCATGGGACATTGTTCGGATAGGACGAGATATCGAAGTCCCGTGTACACATTGGTGTGCACGTAAAAGATCGGTTTTCAGTTGGAATACGATATAAGAATAGGCCATATCGCCATGTGCGGGCAAAATTTCTCTCATAGCAAACTGTATGGCGTATGCCCGTCTTTATTAGCCCAGTCGAAGCAGAAAAGTAGGACGTCATACCCCATTTCATTTCACTCCTGTTGTTAACATGGTAATATATGACGTCGTTGCTACTAAAAATAATAACATACGACACTATTGGAACTCACCCAAGTAACAGTCGACGTTGTAATAAGTGCGGATCTTCTTGTTGGATAATCAAGGTACGACAGTGTTTGTATTTCTTAGTGATCACGTAGATTAAGACGGAGAGTATAAAAATAATTAGACCAATATTTACAACTGTAAAGAACCAGGTAAAACCAGATCTACAAATAATATAAAATATCACATTATAGGTTTTACAAGCGGATTATGCAGTTAGCACCCAACGCACAAGGAACGCCCGGCATTACACCGATATTTCATTTAGTTTTGTCTCGATGGATGCAAAGAAAATTGGTGACAATAATTTCCCAAGTATATTGAGTTAACAAATTAAATATATTCTCATCTGAAGATAACCCATGATGAAATCTTACCGAATATTGTCACCTTTGTTCACTCTATCTTTAAATGCCTCGAATTTTGGTTTCAGTTCGTCAAAATAAAAAGACTACAAATAAAAAACAACATTAATACATTGAGTCATTGGGCTTCGTTCATGTAACTAATATTTTTTTAAGGGTTAGTGCAGGAGAACCGCACTACAGATAAACAAAAATAAATCTTAAAAGGAAATGAAATGAAATGGAGTTTAACGTCATACTGTTCTGCTCCTATTGGGCTAATGAAGACGGGCATGTGAAATGCGGTGTGCTATGAGGGAAATTTTGGTTTATTTTTGTCAGTAATATAAAAGCTGTAATAACTGTGTAATTGTTAAGTGTTTTACACCAACTAGCATGCTGGGTTGGCATAAGTTTAGACCTATCGGTATTGTTCTAACTGAAGGTTTGGTCTGACCATTACTGGAAGATATGATATATTGGAATTGTTCTGGGTTTTTAAGAAAATTTGGTATTCAAATAAGACTTTTATTACCAAACGTGATTCAGGAAGAATGCAATTAACATAAAATCATAGACTGATATTGACCTTTTGTGTAGGAAAGACCATGCCGTCAGTTGATCTTCTAACTGTGTTAATGAAATCGTTCACTCTACTCTGAATATCTGTAAAAGAAACAAGGGGTAAAAACTGGTAACCAAACAGCAGATAATTTATGCAAGTTCTATGCAAATCTGACTTCAACTTTAACCGGGTTGAACTGAAGAAAGTCGATGGCAAATTTACCATTTTAAATTCCCGTTTCCCGCAACGGGCCTTTTCACACAACTCCTATTTTTTGTTTACCTCAAAATAATACATTTTTGAACAACTACAAAAAACGGGTAATTGTAGCACAAATGCGGGATTTAGGAATATCTGAAAAAAAAACCCGCCAATGGCGGCAATCTAAATGCAAAGTTAGTCTTAAAATACTGAAGAAAGATTAGTTGCCAAGCAACGAAACATCTTACCTGATATATTAGTAGCTAGTTTATTTTGTATTATATCACCAATACCATACGTGTAGTAATATTCTGGCTATAAAATATAACACATGTAGCATTTTATAAAATATATCAATTCAGAACAGTGTATACACTAATGCATCGATTCTTCACCATGGCATTGAGTATGCGGTTTTGGATTTGACTTTTGAGGTGGGATATTTTCGGTCATTAATCAGATTAGGTTCGTTTGCCTTCGGCCCAAATATTTACGAACTCTAAAAACTAACCGCGCTGAGTAAACAACAAGCGATCATTTATTTTAAAGATGAAATACTTACACTTAGTAAAGATCCTTTAAATGGTTCGCGGAGTAATTCCTGTAACTCGTTTAAATTAGAAGTCAGATTTGGCATCTGTAATTAAATAAAGGGGAATCAACTTTAAAATTAACCATCAATTAACTATAAATCAAGCATATGCCGTTTTGGCTACTTCAGACAAGATTATGTACGTCACTGAACAATGAAAAAGGATGAAGATACTTTGATTGTATAATTATGCAGTTTGCAATATATAAGATCAGAATAAATATGAAATAAGTAAATCAATATCCATGAAGATATTTCGTAGTTATATAATGTATAATTCGTAAATTCAAGCGTGTTTGTTTATGTATCTGTACCGCCAGCGTCATTGTGGGTTTCTTAAACCTGACGGATGACATACGTTGCCCTTTTCAATGAAGACACATATGGTCAGAAAAAGTTGATTATTGCCCAGGATATAGGTTTCCAGACAATGAAAAATGGACCCACAGCAGCTATGTCGTCGATCAAATCCACCATATATACAAGGTATATATATAAGCAAATTATTTAATATAATCTATAACATCATTCGGCCGTTCTGTGAAATAATCAAGGGCATTAAGAAATGACAAGAAATTGTTGTAATGGAATTTTCCATTTCACTAATTTTAACAATGCATTTCAATTTAAATTTCAAGCAGATCGGACGATAACTTTGGTCGTTAGAGTATACGCAATATTCTACACAGTGAGCATGGTCAATGAGTAATTTGAACCGACAAGTAATACATTATAAGTGTGTCTTACTATCTGTATGGATTGTATTTTGTAATTAATAGCAGTCTTTCTTTTATATTTATTATCTGGCCTTCTGCAAGTGTTAATGTGTTGTGTAATGTAGAAATTGTATCTAAGAAGTAGGGTCAGATATTTCCAATCTATATTGATAATATTTTAAATAATATTATATTCTCTCAGTTTTGATCACAACACGGTTGTTTATAATTCATCAATTAAGAAATGTTTTGCCCAGAATATGCAGTCCGGTAGTTATGGACAGACCCACTCACTGTAACATATGTTTCAACAAATAAGCATCTGTTGTAACTGTCATGTTCTTTATTCTTTATTTATATCTTACCGTTAAGAAGTTTACTTGTGGATATATATCATCAGGGACGATATTCTCACACCCAGAACACGATCCATCACAGCCTATACATGTCCAATCAGAACGTGCAAAACTTAAATTATAATTAGCTGTAGACAGGTTAGACTTTAGATGACGTCCCATACCGTTATTAATTATCACCATCTCATCTATCAACGACTCCAATGACACAACAGCTCTACTAGTGTCTAAAATAAAGACATACAGATTTATGTTATTTACAGACAATGCCATTCCAGCCATTTCTCCAAAGAATGTACATGTATAGCCATCCAAAGGATAATATAATCTGGATTTAAAACATGCTAATCAATTACTATTCATGATTTAAAAAATCACCGACCCCTTGCGCCTAATCTCAAATATAACAGACAGCTACCAAATGTTACCTAATGTAAAATATAATAGACTGTTACCTACTGTTAAATATAACAGACTGATGCCTAATGTTACCTAATGTAAAATATAACAGACTGTTACCTAATGTAAAATATAACAGACTGCTACCTAATGTTACCTAATGTAAAATATAACAGACTGTTATGTAATGTTACCTTATGTAAAATATAACAGACTGTTATCTAATGTTACTTAATGTAAAATATATCAGGGTGTTGCCAAATGTTACCTAATGTAAAATATTTCAGAGTAATTAATATACATTATAGTGTTACACGGGCTGATAATATCAACAAAAACCAAAAAAAAAGCTCACACAAGTCCAAATTCTCCAATTCCTTGAAAATAGCTGATACATTCGGGTGAAATGCCCGACTTCCAGGTTGCCATATTAATTCCCCTAAAGCTGAAAACATCAACAGAGCCATATCTATCATGTATTCAAAATCGTTTCAAAATCTTGAAGGTCATTTATAGATTTATTTATAAATATTCTTTTATGATTGATTTATTTAAAGTTAAAAGGTATGATCAAGAATGATCAACTATTTAATCAGCTTATCACCGTGTCGTTTAGAATAAATAACAGAGTTAGTATTAACATAGGCGTATGTTTATTATTATGTAACATACTAAGAACCTAACTACATTATTTGGGCACCAACCACCACCGCCCCCCCCCCCTCCCCAGTCAAAAATTTCCCCGTACGCCTATGGCACAGGCACTTGAATGGATTAAAATAAAACTTCTTACTACTGCTTGACTATATATTATAGTATATAAGAAGGTATTTCAGCCGCCATCTTTGTTTTCCGTTACTCGAAATTTTCCTAGGAACTGGGTGATCCAGACTGCACCTGCGGTGCGGCCTCGCTTCGTAGGCTCGATCATTTACCGACCAAATTTCGAGTAACGGATAGGTTTATAAGGGACTGGGTGATACAGACTGCTACAAACTAAACTTATTTCCGGGCTGATGAAGACGAATATCGGCAAGTGACAGCTCTTCAAGTTTGATTTGTAATTAATAACGCTGTTAAATGGCCAATTTAATTACATCGGAAGCTGAATAATGATCAAATAAGGCCTCGTTGGCAATAAAAACGACGGGTAGTGTTAGAACTAGTGAGTATTGTGAGATGTTAGCAGACGTAATGCCTTGAAGACGTGAAAACAAAGATGGCGGCTGAAATACCTTCTTATATACTATAATATAAAGTCAAGCATTAGTAAGAAGTTTTATTTTAATCCCTTCAAGTGCCTGTGGCCTATGGTTAGTAATCGATACTTTTAAAGAATTTAAATCATTCACAATATAAATATATTCTGTTAAAATAGGGATTCTTTTTTTAATTGAGCTTACTGTTGATGTCGTGTGTAAGTACATCTTGTCCAAACCATAGATTACTGTCTTCAGTCATAAAATCATATTGCTAAAATACAAAATTATAAATGAAAAAAGATTGACATCAATTGTTAATCAATCATTCTAAATCAAGATTTGTTAGACTTATAACGATAGAAGTAGCTGTTAATGTTACCTGAAACACGCGGTTTGGGGTATGTTTACTTACTCTTGAACACCGAGTACCACTTCAAAATCATTCGAGGAGTTATCTTTTTTGTATATTTTTTGTATTGAGAGGCCTTATCTGTTGAATCTGGCCCCATGTAGCTCTAAATAATGTCCATGTCGTAAACTTGACTAAGTATTCATACTTTTAGTAGAACGATGTGATATTCTTTTTTATATATTTAATTCAGCTAAAATATTCGAAGACGCAGGCGGCAAGATTTTATTACATATAAGTGGTGGTGATAATATGAAATACCCACCTGTTTAGTTTGATTGAAATAAGATGTAACATCATCCATTGAGTTATATAATCTTTTATCTAGTCTATTTATACCATCTCCTATTCTAGCGTTTACTACCAGTATACATATAGTAAATATACTGTAAAATAGAATATAGTAAATATACTGTAAAATAGAATATAGTAAATATACTGTAAAATAGAATATAGTAAATATACTGTAAAATACAATATAGTAAATATACTGTAAAATACAATATACATATATTAAATATACTGTAAACTGCAATATAGATTTCGTAAATATATCGTAAAATACAGTATACATACAGAAAATATACAGGAAAACCAATGTAAATGGTCGTTTGATTTCATTTAGTATCTACCTCAAGCTGCTGTTTTCCAAAATCTGTAGGCTTATAGACATACTCATTGGTTGATTGTGTGTTCAGGATAAATGCATCTGGATACTAACATAACTTAGTCGAATTTCACAAACTTCGAACTAGTACGCTTCTGGTCCCGGTCATCCAGTTCAGGTAACGTGATTTAGAAAGAATTTGGAAGGCATGCTTTCATCCAGTCAATCATGGTCAATAAACCACGACACTGGACGAAATAATCAATTTGTAGACTATGGTGGAATATCTATTGTCAATCATATTTTTACAGGTTGCTGTAAAATGCCTTCCTGTCCAGCTACCTTCCCTACGCCTAACCCTGGAATTTCATTAGTCCACAGCTTAGACGATTGATCGACATGGCGAACAGGAAAGTTTTTTACACCATTTATTATTAACTTACAAAATAATGAGGATAAATATTATTCCCAGTACTATTACAGCATTGAGTTTATGTCCTGATAGGAATGGTTTTTGACCAGAATAAACAGATCTCCTACTCTTCCATCGTTTATAGAGAAAGTAAGCCAGACAACATATCAATATTATACTGATAAATATTGCTCCAACACCACAACTTATTACTATATTCTCTTCATAATCCGTAATCTAAAATTGAAAATCAGAAAAACTGAATGTGAGAATGTAATTTACTTTACTCGAATTGTAATACATGTGGCATATAGTTGCTAGTAGAAAGGAGTGCGAATTCATTTAAACAACAGACTCGTTGGGCAAATAATGTTATGACTGTCATGGAGTGAGTATTATATGAACCCATAAAAATTATACGGCTCTTTGTGGGCGGTTTAGATACTGGATTTTTGGCTTTAGATTAGTAACTACTGTTTTGTTACTTGTATTACACTGATGAATGAATAAACTATGGTTTAACATCTTAATTGTGTACTGTATGTATAGGGAAATCCACCACCGGGTATGTTTATATCAACCCACCAATAACCATGTATTGTATGTATACGGTATTCCATCAACCCACCAATAACCATGTATTGTATGTATACGGTATTCCATCAACCCATTAATAACCATGTATTGTATATGTATACAGTATTCCATGAACCCACCAATAACCATATATTGTATGTATACGGTATTCCATCAACTCATCAATAACCATGTATTGTATATGTATACGGTAATCCATCAACCCACCAATAACCCTTAAAAATGAAGTTTAAACACACCTCGTCCTCTGAATATTCATTTCTGATAATTCGCCTGATTAAATCTGAAGAGAACAAGATATAACTTTACATGTCATGTTAAAATCTTACACCCTTTAATTTTACAGCAGAGTTTTATTACAGTATACAATGTCTGTGTCTTCCAGTAAATTGGTGTAGTTGGATCGCTCATTAATTTAACAGAATTCAAGATCCACGACGTCTCTTAAGGACATCAGTAAAAGAGTTGTTGTTTTCCCATTCGGAAGATATTACTGTACTTTACACTTTTCATTGAACTTATATGTTTATTATGAAAACACTCACCATAGGGAAAAGACTGATGATGTGTCGTTACGAGAACAATTGATTTGGCAAAATTAATAGTTGTTTTCCAAACACCGCTTCCTTTTTCTTGAATGTTTCCATGGTAATCTCCTGTACAAAACAAAATCATAAAAGACATAAATTTAATCAAGTCCCACCAACAGATTGTACCTTGTTTAAGACATATTGCCAGTACACAAAACAGATCAACATATTATACCATGCCAATTCGTGATAATAGAGTCCAATTGAAGGAAAGAATAATTAATACAAAGTCTGAGGAGTTTTAAATGACATGGAGCTAGGGGTATGTGCTTTTTAAAGTATTCGTATAATTAGATTAATTTCAGCGCAATTTATTGTCAATTACTTTATTATCGTGTTCTGGTTTAGACTTATAACAATGATGTGTAATACCTAACTAAATTACTTAGAATAATACAATAATTGTATATATAACTTCCTGTTTGAATATTTATTATCTATATACATATATTGGCTAGCTTTCAAAAACAGTGTTGACTTTCCGGCTTCAATAAATACAAGCAATTCTCTTTTACAAGATATACTTAAATTTATGATATGTACACAACCAAACAAATCAGACAACATGGTTAACACTTTAATTTTTTGACTACGTGAGGTCATCGTTTAAAGGGGCTAACTCAATATTTTCCATAATATTCGAAATAAAAAACACGAATTAGATACTGATAGTTATGTTGTCGGGAAAATATGAGATCCTAATAGCCAATATTTAAGACACAGTGAACATTTAATAATTAGTACACGAGTCATATATTCTATAGTTTCGGGCGCCATTTGTAATAAACAAAGAAAAGATACCCTCACAATACAATGCTCAAGTAATTAGTAATGGCTGCAAACGACAAAATAATAATTAAAAAACGTGTAGGCGTAAGCGACTGTCGTCCAATTTGTACTGTTCACGTATTTCACAGAACAAAATTTATAAGAAATTACAATATATTATGTAGAATTTAGATATAAATCACTTTATATACATTCATATTACATTAATATTTGCTTTAAGACCAATTTGCACCATGAAAAACTCCAATATATTTAATACGGGAATAGTCTTTCTAAAATAAATGTTGACTAATTTCAAAAATCAAGCATTCCAATCTCAAATTTATTGTTATATACTTGTAGTATATTTGTTAAAACTTTAAAGTAGAGATTAACTAGAAACTTACTGTCTGGAATATTTCCCCATTCTATATCACCATTAGTATACCGCTTATGACCAAGTTGGTTTTCAGCAGTTTCTTTATATTCTATTCCTCTTATGTCAGCTATACAAAAACATGATATGACGAAAACTAACAAACCATTGATAGTATGTGTAGTAGCCATTATCAATCAATCAATCTGTTACATATTTTCACCAGTTTAATCGACGCTCATTACCGACATACTCATTACTGTTTCCTGTTTCAAACTAGCCCAGATTTAAAGTAATGAACTGAACACCACTGAATATATATTCTCGGTTGGTTGTACATTAACTATCTTATAATAATGCTATGTTTGTCCAATCTCCCTTTTTGTCTTTTATAATTATCCACTATCCGATCATTTCCTGTCGACACTCCTATTGCAAGTTTTCTATCTTTCTGTACAAAACTTTTCACCAAGGCAACAATTTGTTATCACATTGTGAAAATTATCACCCATTGTTAATCACGTCACGCCACAGATCCACCTGGATAAATAATTTGTCCGTTACGAAGAGCAAATGGTATAATATTGAAAGGAAACTTTAAAGTAGTCCACTTATATACACAGTATAAACATGTCTAAATATTGCGTCGTTTAGTACATGTCGCCTAACTAAGAGTCCGGTAAACAAGAAAACCAACCAGTGAAAGATCCGGTTGAGTGAAGAAGACTTACAACTAACGACGATTATATTAGTATACAGTGTGTCTATATAATTAATCGGGTATAAAAAAAACTGGCATAAAAGAACCTATTACATTTTCTTATTTACACCACTTGACAATATCATTCCTTTAATACTGGGTAATTTATACGTGACCCGTAAACTATTTTATTGCATGGTGCAAACCCATTTCTTATTGATTGTATAGCAATGTTTTTAGGGGATTGAACACCTATGTTCAATAAATATTCACAACCCAAATAATATTTGAAGGTAACAATCATGTTGAATAATGTTTGCGACGGACAAGGAATGATTCTGCCGAATGAAATGAAATGAAATGGGGTTTAAGGTCCTACTCTTCTACTCCATCTGGGCTAATGAAGACGGATATACGTCATACAGTGTGCTATGAGGGACATTTTGCAAGGACAGCGACACTACGGCCTGCACTTATTTCGAATTCAAACTGTCACGGGATCTTTTACGTGTACGCCAATGTGTACACGGAAAATCTATTTTTCGCAGCACCCGAATGACTATGCGCAGGTGCGGATTGGGGCCAGAAACCGGCCCGAGCTCCCGTGTGGGAGCGGCCCTTTTTTCTGACCGCGGAGAATTTTGAAAATAAACCCCAAATATGCGATTTGGTGGCATATCTGATTATAATCTCTGTCAAATAATATATCTCATAAATCGATTAATTTTGGCCAAAACCCCGACCTGCAAGTAATTTACAACCATCAACCTGTGAAATTATCATATCGTCAGATTATGCAGGATTCCGATTTCCGGCCCACACCCAGCACACCCGGCCCAGAAAGTCTATTATACCAGCCCATTCCAGACACCAGTAATGGCGTGGCGGCCCGTTAAAGCCACCGGCCACATACAACATGATCATCATCGCTCCATGGCCGGTCCAATACCCCCACCCCACCACATATGATGTTCAGCAGAAAAAGTTTTTTCGACGAATTGGACAAAATAATTTTTTTTCATTGTTTTCCGACCGGCCCTCCGATCGCCCGATCGCCCGATGGCCCAATCCGCCCCTGACTATGCGCTGTCCCTTGCTACACTACTGACAAGGGGGAATTCCCAATGAACCTTCTTGGTTAATGCAGGGACCGAACACGTGGCTTCCAGGTTAACCTAATTTTCTGGATGACACTAATAGATTCGTGTGTCGTTTGAATACAATATCTTTCTACGTTAAATATAAAAATAAACAGAATAGAGTGTAGGGGGAGGGGGTCATTTTCATTTATGCCTAGGTTCTACTGGGCATTTTTTTCCTCGGGGATGTATACTACCGATGGAAATTTATGATCCGCGGGAGGCGTTGGAAACAGCTTCCTCGGGGGGGGGGGGGGCTTCGGGAGCCTCGAAAGCCATGTAGAACCATCGGGAGAACTGCGAAAAATTTCAATGCTTCGGGTTTTTCACAATTTGCCTCTTCTAATTTTAAAATTTGTTTCTCAAGATTTTGTTCTTTTTCACTTAGCTTTTTCTTTTTATATGAATAAAATGATATTATTCTAAACCTATAGGTGTAGAAGAAGCATTAGGTTTGATGATCAATAGTGAATTCTCGGTTATGGATTGCAAATTTTCTTACAAAACTTACATTATATGAACTTACTGCATACATTTCTTTAATTTATATTGTCTTTTACCATTTCACTAAAGTATTTATCATATAGAAGGGATTTATTAAATTTCCAATATCTATTAATCGTTTTGTGGTGACTTCTTTTAACAATTATGGTTGGTTGGTTCTGTATCCCGATTGCATAACATAATTTGACATAAATGGCATCAAATTTTTACTCATCAAGAAGAAATCTAAGCGACCTTCTTTAAAGGTTTTTTTTTCTTTCCCCCAGATATATTTCCTTTTTGTTTCATTAAAGTATTTTTGTAACAATCGAAGATGAAAAGGTAAATTATTATTATATATAACAAATAACCTAAGCCCCGCTAGAGTTATCTTGCGATTACCCAGCAGAACTGAACAATATTTCATGTTTCTTCCGAACATGTCGCATCGTATCAAATTATAGACTACTATAGAATTTTGATCAGTCGTTACGCTATGAAAACTAACTGGTCACATTCAGAACTTTCTGACTTATGTGCCGTCCACTTTCTCTTTACTTGTTTGTGTGACCTTAACCAGTATCCAAACCATAAGGATTAACGTCAAGCTTGACTGACCCAACATAGAAATTAGCCAAATAAAACAACAAACATGGTGGCATACATATAAGTTCAAAAGATTGGGTGTGGCACTCCATTACTGCTTATGTCACATACGGTATTTCGAACAATCTCTGACAATGTTTCAATTACTTTTCTTTATTTTTCCTATTCATTTGCCATAGCCATCAGATCATTAGGTATTTAATGTGATCGAAGAGCGTATTAGGTAGCCTACCAATCTCCTCACTAAAATTTTTGAAAAACCTACTTAGCACATAATTATCTATGCATATTGGTCAATACAAAGTGTTACCCGCCTTAACATTCTGGTACGAAGTGGAATAAAAACCCGAGCAAACATGGCATGAGGTCAAGAGAGAAGGAGATTGCTCCCCATCACTGCCTCGGTCACATACGATGTTTCGAAAATCTCTGGCACTTTTTTCACTTACTTTTTTTTAATTTTTGCCTATTCATTTGCCATATCCATAAGATCATTAGGTATTTAATGTGGTATTAGGTACCAATCTCCTCACTCAAAATTTTTACAAATCGACTTAGCATATATCTATACATATGAGGCAATATAGTGTTAACCTCCTGGAGATTTTGATACAAAATGGGAGCACCACTAGCTTCATGGCTCCGTGTTCGGCAGACACGCGAGAAATTGGGTTGATTTAACTATCTGTCAAGGAGATTGACAGTACAGAAGTTTTTGTCATTTTATTATTTTATATTCCCTAAACATACGATATAATATTAAATAGCAACGGCTAACTGTTTGTCAAGGTCGTTGATATGCGCGGATATCGAAAGGAACTGAGATCTTTGGGTTATAAACTTACATTTCAAGTTTCAACAAAATCGGATAAAAATTGTGACCTCTATAGGGTCCACAACCTTGATATACCATATTTTTACGCTATTTGAGAACGATGGGCGGCCATTTTGTCTGTCAGTTTTGGTCCGATTTTCACAAAATTCGAACTCAGCCGTCCTTGGGGTGTAACGGTGATATACTAAAACGTTTTTTTTTAAATTGGATAAAAATTGTGACCTCTATAGGGCCCACAAGCTAAAAACGCGATTTTTCGTACAAATAGGGGCCATAATTCAGGAAGTTATGGTCCGATATGCGCGAATATAGAAAGGAACTATCTTTGGGTTATAAACATATATATTTCAAGTTTACACCAAATCGGATAAAAATTGTGGCCTCTACAGTGTTCACAAGCTAAAAACGTGGTTTTTCGTACAATTAAGGGCCATAATCCATGAAGTTACAGTCCGATACATGCCAATATCGAAAGGAACCGAGATCTTAGGGTGATAAACCTATTGTGACCACGTTATTTCTGGTCTTATAGAATTAAGACTGAGTCCAAGTAACTTCTATGTGATTTATTAAACATATATGAATCAACAAATATTTACAAGAAAGAGAGATCCGATCCGTTCTAAACCATAGCTCACTCTCTGTTTTAAATACAATTCTACAAAATATATAATAGACAATTATGACACATTGACAATTAAACTATAAAATATTGCTTCTAAGTTGAAATCTAAAACAATAGTTCGTTTTATAGAGAGTTTGGTTAATGACCAATACTTAATCCCTCCATTGTTTAGACTGTAATGCTTCCTCTAATTTATATCTGGCGTAATAGCCAGTGGCTGGTTTAATAAGGTTTTATAACATAGGGGCCAGTTGATATTTGATTGTAAAGAGTTAACTGACTATGTGTTTTTATAAGAACAATATATCACTCATGTCAGTGTCTGTTTAATTCAACACTTATCTTACTTGAGAAATAATTAGGTAAATAAAATATATTTAAAATGTATTAATGTTGTCAAAGATATGTTTACCAAAATGGGAAAAGTAACATTGGTTTTTAATATATAGAAATCATATGACTTATGTCGGTCATACTATATTTCAAGTTTCGTTGAAATCGGATAAAAATTGTGACCTCTAGAGTGTTCACAAACAATTGTGGACGGACGGACGGACGGAAGGACAGCGGCGACGACAATATACCTCCACATGCAAATCTGGGCGTATAAAAACACAATCTCTAAATATAAAATTCATATAAAAATTATAGAAGCAAATGAGTAAACCGGTATAGTAACAATTACACATCCATATCAAATTCGGGCGCTTTATAAACTGTTAAAAGGGATGAACTATAATATAATAATAAAAATAAACACAACTTAAAGATATAATTATTGAGTTCAAACAGGTTTGTTTCCCCGAGATAAAAAAACAGCAGCAATAAACATATTTAAGTAGATTAAAGTCACATTTTGATTTCATTGAAGGAGACGACCTAGGTATAAGTTTGTAAAAAACGCCACAAGAAACAGATTTTTCATATCCTAGCTTTCTAACGACCTAACTTTGATACTCTCGTGCGATACGCTCAGTGTCAGATGGAGTTGGAGACGAGCGTCTTTACTAGCAACCGCCTTGCGTCTGGATAATCATGTATATCGCGCATACGCTTGTGAGTAACAGAATTTTCAGATTAACGCAGCGCTGAATAGTTATGGTTACCAAGCCAACCAACGACAAAATGGAGGCGATCGTTTTTATGAGTTGTGTACCTCGTAAAAACTGTTTCGGCAATCATTTCGAAACATCATACTATTTTGACCCGAACATTTCTCGCGGCGTTAATAAGGTATTTCTTTGTAATCTATATATTTTTTTAAGCAATCTTTATATAAACAGCAGAGCAATCTCTCCACAAACATACGTATATATTTAAATATAGTATTTATATTGTAGATAGAGACGAAATATTAGATGATTATGTACAATATTACACCACAATCAATAGTTACATATTTCATTAAAAAAAAATCATAAAAAATCGAATCTTTGAGAATAGTGGAATTTAGGTTTACAATTCAGGGGCCTGTTTCACGAAATTTTAACTCAGATAAAAATCAAAATTTTAGTAATTTGTTTGGATAATAATAGATTGATTTTAGTGCTTAACCAATCAAAATTGAAGTATCTACTTAAATTGGATTTTATCTTTAGTTAAGATTTCGAAAAAAAAACATTTCCCCGAATAATGGATTTTGAGCATTTTAATAAAATTATGGAAGTTAGCATATGCCGGGGCCCTTATTCACGAAAACTTAAACTAAGTTACAACCGAAATTTTAAGAAATACTGCAACTTCATTGGATATATGCAAATTGATTTTACTGGTCAGGCAATCGAATTGCAGTATATCTTAAAATTTAGATTTTATCTTAGTTTAAGTTTTCGTGAATAAGGGCCCAGGAGTCAGGGTATACATCAACTGAAATGATTGCGGAAATGAAACCAGGCAATCCATTCACTGTATATTATGCGTTTTGTAATCTACACCTGAGTTTCCAGAACCTTAACCTCGGTTTCGTCTACGTCTGCGTAAAAGCCTAGTTCATAATCCTCATGGTCGGAGTGTTCTACGGGTGATGAACGACGTAGATAAAAACCAGACGGTTTAGCCATGGCTTCGGGTCCACTGGAGTCGAATTTATACAAAGGAACCGCTTCTTTTTTCAAAAAATCCATCTCACTCAAAGCCGATAAAACTTGCCATGCTTTAACGGACGTCAAGTGACTTTCCAAATCTAATTTGAAATCATTCTTTTTATATAGTTGATCCACCCATTTCTCCTTAAAGGTAATCGCTGGCATTTCTCTGAAAAAGTAGATTTACCATGCGAATATATTATTTGACAATCGAATTTACATCGGACTTTTCCTAGACTGTGAAATGACTGAACAGGGATTTAGAATCTTTGATACCTGGTTAAAGATGCATTATGTAAGAGGTAAATTGGCATATTGCAGGTCTTTTTGTGGCTTCAAATGTATAACAATCGGTTGCCATGCACGATACGCTCACATTTTGCAAGAGATGGACAGAGAACAAGCTCAAAAAAAGAAGTGATTTTTCGTACAATCAAGGGCCATAATTCAGGAAGTTACGATCCGATATGCATGAATATTGAAAGTAACCAAGATCTTTGGGTTATAAACATGTATTTCAGGTTTCATCAAAATGGTGTCCTCTCTCTAGAGGATTCAAAGCCTTGATATACCATATATGTACAATATTTGCGTACGAGGTGCAGCCATTTTGTCCGGCAGTTTTTGTCCGATTTGTACGAAATTCGGATTCAACCATCATAAGGGCGTAAAAGTAATATATTCAAACGTTTTTTTAAATCGGATAAAAATTGTGAAATCTAGAGCGATCACATCCTAAAAACGCGACTTTTCGTACAGGGGCCTTAATTCAGGAAGTTACGATCCAATATGCACGAATATCGAAAGGAGCAAAGATCTGTGGGTCATAAATATGTATTTCAAGTTTCATCAAAATCGGATCAAAATTGTGGCCTCTAGAGGATCCACAACCTTGATTTTTTAAATCGGATAAGAATTATGACCGTTATAGGGTCCACAAGCTAAAAACGCGATTTTTCGTACAACCAGGGGCCATAATTCAGGCAAGGAACCGAGATCTTTGGATTATAAACTTACATGTCAAGTTCCATCAAAATCAGAAGAAAATTGTGACCTCTAGAGGGGCCACAACCTTAATATATATACCATATTTTTACGCTATTTGAGAACGAACGGCGGCCATTTTGTCTGTCAATTTTGGGCCGATTTTCACGAAATTCAAACTCAGACGTCCTTAAAGTGTAACGGTGATTAAAAAATACAGTTTTTTAAATCGGATAAAAATTATTACCTCTATAGGGTCCACAAGCTAAAAACGGGATTTTTCGTACAATCAGGGGCCATAATTCAGGAGATCTTTGGGTTATAAACTTACATATCAAATTTCAACAAAATCGGATGAAAACTGTGACCTCTATAGGGTCCACAACCTTGATATACCATATTTTTACGCTATTTGAGAACGAACAGCGGCCATTTTGTCTGTCAATTTTGGGCTGATTTTCACGAAATTCGAACTCAGTCGTCCTTAGGGTGTAACGGTGATATAATAATACGTTTTTTTTAAAAATCGGATAACAATTAGGACCTCTATAGGGTCCACAAGCTAAAAACGCGATTTTTCGTACAATCAGGGGCCATAATTCAGGAAGTTACGGTCCGATATGTGCGAATATCGACAGGAACCGAGATCTTTGGGTTATAAACTTACATTTTAAGTTTCAACAAAATTGGATAAAAAATGTGACCTCTATAGGGTCCACAAGCTAAAAACGTAATTTTTCGTACAAACAGAGGCCTTAATCCATGAAGTTTCGATTCGATTGCCAGTATCGAAAGCAGTCGAGATCTTTCGGTGATAAACCTATATTTCAAGTTTCGTCAAAATCGGATAAGAAGTGTGACCTGTAGAGTGTCCACAAACAAATTGTGGACGGACGGACGGACGGACGTCAGGGCGGACAGAGGCGACGACAATATACGCCCACATGAAAATGTGGGCGTATAAAAAGTATAATTTAAACATTTATTAATAATTATGACAAGCCCTTCTTCCTCAACGATAAACTAGATAATCGAGACTATGACTCGTTTGTCCGGTACCGTTTCTTCCACAACGATAACCTAGATAATCGAGACTATGACTCGATTGTCCGGTACCGTTTCTACGAAAATAAATGTTTTGTCAAAACTTCAAATACTGATAAATTGGCACATAATAAAGTAATTTAACTGAAACTTCCAAACTTTTCATTATCTACTTCAGCTCTTAATCTAATTCTTGCATAATGCATCTTTAACGTCTATATATTGCTTCACAATATCAATGCTTTATATCGAATATGAAAAAAGAAATCGTTAAAAAACTAGCCTCTATCGCGTCCACAAGGTTTTCGGAAGGGGATCGATACGGAATGGAAGGTCACGAAAAGCTGAATATCGATAGGGTTCATCCTCTCACCACCTCAAATGCTCCACACCAAATTTGAAATAAAATCTGTTAAGAAATATAAGAACTACCAATTCACAAGGTTTTTGGAAAATGGGACATAACCCCGGAACATAAGACCCGATGCACAGCAAAATCAAACTCACCCGAGATATTGATCCTTGTCATGTGCGGTGTCATATCTGAATCGGTTGGTATTTTGGTTAAAATACTTCAAAAATACTATAAGTTAGAGTCGGGTTATAAGCGTGCACTTATAAGGATGCAGGGAACAAAACACACAATATACTCCAACTAAATTCAAAGCAATGTGTTTCAATATAGGAATTACGAAAAAAAATGGTGCTTTCATAAAAACATATTAAGTTTCTGTGTAGATGCATTGTCAGACAAGTTGTGGTGGTACGGAGGCATTATGCCGAATAGAGCGAGATCAATAAGGAGGAATGTGGGGGGGGGGGGTAATGTAGAAAGAGAGTGTCCACAAGATGGGACATGCCACTAAAAAGTAGAAAAAAATATTTCGTACAAGTCTATGTTTTTTTTTGTGATGGACCTACTATTGACATTAAGAACTTACCGTTTATCATTTTTTAATTGAGCCAATGTCTCTGGAGGAAAGTGGCATTTTGAACAAAGCTCCTCTACTTGTGCTTCATCTAAGTCTCTTTTTAAGACATCCATGATACCCATACTTCTCTACATTGAAAGAACAAAATAACATAAAGCAACCAAAAAACTGCTGAGATGGCGACAATATTTATAAGTAGTGCCTTGCGCTTCCATTTACAATCTGCCAATATTTTGGATGTTAAGGTTTTATTTTTTAAACGGAGATGTTGGCCTTATATATATTTTAACTTTTCATGGTATGGCGTCGGTTTCTATATTAGACTATATACATCAATATTATTAGGCTTATACAGTCGAAACTTGGATGCATTGGGAGCAAACATCAATACTTGCATCGGTAAATTTGGCCGTCGCTGAAAGTTGCTTGGAACGAAAATTCTTTGACTCAAATCTCTGACATAACTTCAGTAAACGTGTCATTTTGTACCAACATTGATACTACTGTCTACGATTATGATGTATTCGATATATTTATCCATTTTTGTGAACAATTATAGTCAAGTTTAGTTTGTCTATTTACGATATAAACATGTATTACTACCTCTGGCAAATGTTGAGGAACATTCTGTATGTAGGATGCAGGGTATCGGTTGGCGCTAGCACCGTGCAGATCACCAATGTTGTCAGACATCGTAATAATGCATTGAAATTGTTCCCGTGGTAGGTGATCTGGTTTCGAAATCATTACCCACTCAATGTTGTGAGGACCCTCTCGACAGCACACCATCAACTTTTTCAATGGCACTATCTGTACAATAAAAACCCACATTAAAGATACATTGTGTAAGATTTAGATAAAGAGTTGGACGTTCTTGTTATAATAGCTCAAAAATAGATTATGAAAAATTAAATTATTGAAATTTTCACCCAAATTACTTTTTTTCTGAGCAAAGTTATGACTGTTTGGAGATGTAGTGTAGATAGTTCATTATCGTAGCAATGGTACTTAACAATCGAGATTTAGTCTCGATTGTCCATTTTATTGTTAAATGTCTAAATCTATTTAAATCCCAGCCATCCAATGTTAATAAATATGAAAATAATAATCTATACAACATTTGAAGACAAAAGAAAGACCTGGCGGAATATTTAGCTTTTTACATAATACATCTGCAAAGAGTGAACTTTGTTGAATTAAATTGGTGAAGATTTGTGATTAAGTTACTGCTAAACGAAACATTGGTTTTTAAACAAATAAAGTTTGGATGTGATAATCGTCCTGGTATATTGTTTAGCCTATTTTACCCTGAAATATTCTGATATATACCGTTTTTAAAGGAAATGGTTCCATGTCGCCATTTTCGGTGGTTAGTGTTTGCCATTGATTGGCTTCTTCACCAGTCGTCGTTAGGTTAAAAGTCAGAATGACCATATCAATATCTTCATATGGTTCTAGGGTTACTGATTTACGTTCTAATTGGTGAAACTTTGACTTGTTGTTGGCAATCCACTGTAAAACATCAACAAATAAACAAACAATAGACGATATATATCCACGTTCCCCGACCCACCAGCTGCAGGGACGTTTTCACAGACTTCATAAAACATTCTAAGGTGACTTCCTAGTATACCCCAAATCCAGCAGCTACCTCCGTGATGGAGTGTCTACATTATGGTTCCAAAAAACAATCCCACTCAGTTCGAAGAATTTATATGAGAACCGTGTTCTGTATGGCATTCACCAGATTTTAACATCAAAATATCAAGTGCGGCCAAAAAGGTCTTCCTTATCAAACCCACTAAGTTTTCAAATTATATCAAATTCCAACTACCAAGGGATCATTTATTTGCTCGCCAATGTATACATGGGACCCCGGTTTTTCGTCCCATCCGAACGACTATGCGTTGTCCCTTGCCAGGCCCTCTGTCCCGATGAGTATGAGCTGATATTACTCTGATGTAATCTCAATAGCACAATCAGAAATCTCAGCCCGTGAGGACAGGAAAAAAGTGTAGTATAGACGAATTCTATTGACTTACCGAATTTCTGAAATCTGGAATATTGCCTTTCATATCCCACACTAAATATTGAATACGTACTTCACGTCTTCGGTTAATTATTTGATACGATCCCAATATATCAACATTTAAAAGTCGTGGACAAGATATTTCCTTTTCACAGTAGTAACAAAGTACGAAACCGCTAAAATGAAGAGTAAATATTCGAACAACATCTGTCTCTATCTCATAGTAACTCTCCGATAATTCTCCATTTTCTTTTGACTTTTCTGGAACGACGGACTTTATTACTGTTCCACCAGTTGCTGAAAACTGATAAACCTTTAGCTGACTCTTTTGGAATCCAGGTTGCAAGGCGTGTGGTATATTAATGACCATGTGTTTTTTGATGACCATCTTCCAATTAGCGTCCATATGATATTCAGGAGCGGGAGAATAAATATTTTCACTTTCTTCCAGCTGCAGAGTGTTCTTCAACTGTCGTAAATCACTGTGCACATGTCCTAATATATGAATACTCTCTGATTCTTTGACAGTTTCTGGAGGTACAACTAGTCTCACAGAAGATCCAGGTAATTGTAGCTCTCCACCTTGCTGATTAAAACTGGCGCTGCCTTGGAACTGTGTATTGAATATCGTTGTAGCCTGATTCGTGTGTTTGGTTTGCGTTCCCTCATCCCGCTGTAACAATTCTGTAATATTCACATCTTTGGTCCTTATAGACTTAAAAAAATCGATAGGTGGCAATTCAATTGGTAGACATATGTAACTCTCCAACGATGAAGAACTAGAAACAGGTCTGTTGCAATCCCATGTTGGAGATGATTCAACAGTGTTACACAATTGATTTTTTAATATTAGTTCGGTCTGGGTGTGGTCATTGTTTGAATTGTTAACTTCATCTACAAGCAGATTATTTTGATAAGAATGTCCGAGTCTGAATTCGTTTTCCGTTCTATTGTTATGTTCTAGGAAAGGACGGCAATGAACAGATACATCTTTATCTTCATGGTATTGAATGGAATTACAATAATCTTCTGTCGTAACTTGGGTTGGTAACATATCCTCTATCTGGATTGAAATACCATCACATTTGTTGACATACTGGTTTGAAAGTTCATATTCCTCAGTTTTACTAGAACCTACAAAAAATAAATAGCATCGAAATAAATTGAATATGTAAATCAACAAGACAAACATCAAGTTCCTTGTATTGACATGATGTGTATGAAAGGATAAAAAATATACCTAACTATTTCTGATGTTTCTAATGATTTTCTGGGAGCATACAGCAGCCCTTTGAGAGAAAATAAATGGTAATCGAGATATCAGAGGACGTCACAATTTAACAGCGACAACTTAGTCTATTAGTCTATTAGATGTATTTGAATATAGCCACGTTTCGGGGACTATGACGTGTGTATCATTTTAGGAATGTACGTTCCACATCTAGCAAAGATATTTTATAAATCCGAACTTTTACTAAAAGGTTCCGCCATTACTAAGCGTAGATCAAGGGATGCACTGACAGCACTGTGGACATTCTAAAGCTAATGTTTGGTTGGCGCCGACTCGGGCGGGGAGAGATAACCCGATTTTTTAGGAAAACTGTTTGGTTAAGATAAGCTGATAAAATAGGGGTTTTTTTAGGTTGGGGGAAGGAAGTGTCGGTCATTCACAACTGTTTGAAACGTAATTTTAATACTTTCCAACCACTACCCTCGACATGAAACTTAAAGAGGGTAGTATAGTCAGTACTAGTCGAGAATAGAAACATAAATAAAGAAAATGATATTGTTTTTTTTTTACCCCGTCTACGTTTGAACCGAATAATAATAGATATTATTATCATTATTATTATTATTATTATTATTATTGCCACAGTCACTGTCGTCCACATTGGTGGGCTGTGTTCTGGAAGAAAAAATTGAAATACTATATAGATATAACAGAAAGTCATTCGTATACTACTTTTTTTTCACGAAATCTTATACATTTTATAGGCACACGTCCAGTTTCCCACCGTAAAAGAAAACCACCAAATCCTCCTGAAATACACACGCATAATAGTGATGATTTCATTCTTAAACGGTATACGTGTTTATGCAAAAGACATGCGCTGTCTCCGAGTACCATAACCAACTTGAGTGCGAAGATGCTCCTTGAGTCTGCATACTAAAGAATTTGCCCAATACCCCAAACAATAATATATGGTTGGGCATTAACTTTTGGTTCAATAGATCACTTCCGGTTTATAACCGAGGAAATGACCTAATTACAGGGGAATTATAAGAGTTTTTATATGCCAAGTCTTCTTACTTAATTTGTTATGGCATTTGACTCAACAGTCCCATTGGTAACTTGACTCAGTCGTGAATTGAATGGCCGGACTCAGGGGACATCACAAATGTTGTTGCCTCTAACGGGGGTAATTATTCAGTTTAAAAGAAAGATAATAAAGTTTTGCAGTTCGATGTAAAAACTTAAAAGTTAATATAAAACAGAAATGGATATTACCTGAGTTTATTGAGTCGGACTCTTCTCGTTCCTCTAAGTTTGTTTCTTCCCTGTAGACAATGTCTGGAATTGATATATCGGATGTTGATTGTGTTACGACGCTTGAACCTGTAGAGATTGTAGACTCGATAGCTTCACCAGACTTCACCACAACTTTATCATTTACTAAAGGTAAATCTGCAGTTTTCTCTCTTCTACCACTTGCTTGTTGACCTTTGTGTTCTCCATTCTCGCCTCCAAGATACGGATTTGGTACTTCGTATGTTGATGGTGTAAATGCGCTTGGTCTAGTAGATAATGCATAGTTAACATTATCACCAATCTTTATGATGTTCTCTTTTCTACCAATTGTTTGTCCATTTCTGGGTTGCCAACATTTCTTGTTAAAACGATAACGCTTATGTTTATCGTGAATGATTCTAACTGTAAAATAATGAAATATTCTGCACAAATATACTTACTGGGGCTTATGATAGAACCATCTTCCTAAATATATCGTTCATAATAACATATATCTGTAATACACACACTAACTTGTTTACTTTTTGAAATGAGACAAGTATTGTTAATAAACTGAATAATATCACCGAGCATGTCGGTGTTAAACGGTGTTTATAGTGTAGGATTTGTATGCTAAAATTGATTTTTTTTGCTGTTTTGGGTTGATGTTGGACCAAGCTATCCAAAAGTGTTGGGGTTCAAATTTTGCGACACCTTGACCCCCCTGACAGGGGCATTTTTGAAATTGGGCCCCCTATGAATGAGGACATGGCTATCTCCGCCAATAATGGTTGGATTTTCATGATCTGAAGTTAATTCTCGTGTTTTTTCATCATGCCGATCCCATCTATGATAAACTTAAAGCGATTGGAAGTAGTTTCCATTGACTTCCGGTGGGAAATACCAATTTCCTGTGTCAAACTTGGATTGATTTCAGCCGATAATCTTTGAATTTTCATGATCTGAAGTTCATTCTGGGATTTGTTCATATGCGGACCTCATTCTAGGTTTCCAATTTTTCGACCCTTGACCCCTCGGGAGGGGGGGGGGGGCTTTTTGAAATCCGGACCCCTCTGACCTAGTCCATGGCAATCTCTGCCAACAATGGTTGGATTTTCATAATCTGAAGTTCATTCTGGGGGTTTGTCATCATGATACCCCTAAAGCAAATGGGAGGAGTTTTCATTGAATTCCGGTGGGGAATACCAATTTCCGGCGTCGCAGCCTACCAATTTTTGTGGATTTTGAAGCATGGTAAAATGATTAATACGGTCACTTTTGGATGACTGAAATGTTCTGTCATGAGATTCAAAACACTTTGACATTTGTTACAAGTAAACAAGTTTAATATCAAAAACAAAAAGAATCTTAACAAGCCAGAAGACGCCAGAAACGAAACAAAAAGAACCTATCTTGGAAATAAATACATCAGTTATTCATCGTCCTCGTCCTCCTGCACACCCCTAATCATATTGGTACGGTCCCTATCAAAACACGTGCAGAAAGATGTATAAGGCAGACCATTTTTAGCAGCCTGTTTTACAACCACATTTTGTGAGTTCAATTACAGCACGATGGACAGGCAGATCAAGATTGGGCACAAGAACATAAATGCCCTTGCCCAACTGCCAGCCGCTGTCGTTAAATGGCAGGAAGGTTCAGGGATCGGGTTAGGTACGACTTGTCGCGTATCGAGGTGTACTTTGTTCCTGGAGCGACAATGAAGCACGAGTCAGTGGAAGCATCTCTCTCTCCCAAGTTTTCTGAACTGAACAATTGCCATCTAAGTACTGGTAGGTTTAATGGAACAGATGAAGAGTAGACTTAGCAGGCAAATCTCTCCAATTCCCTGACCTGCGAAGGCAAGTCATACTTCTCTAAACTTCTTGAAACAGATAATAACAGGGTCATCTTCATCAACCTTCATGTATGCACCAGCCCTTGCTTTCTTTGTGATGCCCACAAGTTTACCTCTCCAGTCAACACCAGAGAAGCTGCGAAGTCCAATCAGACCTTGAGACTTATGACTTCCAATGACACGCACTCGCTCGATCACATCTATCTCTAGATCTCTGTGTTTTGCGGCCATTTTCTGTTACAAACCTGAGATGACTGCGAATACCGAGACGACCCCGGAAGAATTGTGCGGACATCGGCGTAACGTGACTAAGCTCTCAGCTACAGATGCAAGATCTAGGGGTTTCTAAAATGATGAGAACCCTGTGTGGTGTAGCCTTTGCTGTATCAAACAGGCTAGGATATGCTTTTGAAGGAGCAAAAACTCAACCAGTGTCATATGCTAGCCTGGTTGCTACAGCACAGGCTACACCACCCAAAGTTCTCATCATTTATGCTATGGCTCTACGGCAGAGTATGAAGAAAACATCAAACATGCAGAAGCCTCCTGGTCTACAAGTGGCATTCACCATGCGAATCGACTCAGAAGCTACAAAAAGTGGTACTGCGTGATATATTTCTCTAAACTGAAATCGGCCCGAGTTTGACACCAGAAATTGGTATTTCCAACCGGAAGTCAACAAAAATTACTTTCATTCGCTTGAAGTGTATTACGGCACCGGAAGTCAATGAAAACTACTTCCAATCTCTTTAAGTGTATCATAGATGGGATCGGCATGATGAAAAAACACGATAATGGACTTCAGATCATGAAAATCCAACCATTATTGGCGGAGATAGCAATGTTCTCGTTCAGAGGGGCCCCGATTTCAAAAATGCCCCTCTGAAAATTTGAACCCCAACATTTTTGGATAGCTTGGCCCCTAATCAAGCCAAAACAACAAAAAAATCAATTTTAGCATACAAATCCTACGGGAGCTGTTTTAATGACATGTTATACCACACTATTAAGCCACTTGGTCTCGGTGACGGTCCTGTTTCGACTAAGGTGGGGAGAAAAGCAGTTGTGGTCTGTGTGTGAGTAGGTGTGGCGGCGGGACTTAATGGAGAGGTGGTTCACCTTATGAGCATTCGATTGACCAGATTTCAGCGACCTTATTACTTTGATATTAGTTGACATTTGAACTTTTGGGAAATTTTTTCAGTCAGTTTCTGTTTAAATGGTGACGTATGATGACCAAGTCTTGTCTGAGATAGCATTCTAGGTTGAATGCTAATATTGTTTTTTGAGACCGAATAACTTTACCAAATACGTTGAAATGCATGAAGTGGTCGTACACAAGCCGGAACGTCTTAATGTTAGCAAAAGTCACAACATAAGCATAGTTATGGAAGACTATTGCGGCCGTTTCATAATCTCGGTATTTCATAGTGTCAAGTCGTTTGGGTGGTAACGAAAAGCGTTTGGATTTGAAATATTAGCAGACCGTAGCCCCATTCATATTTTAGCACACTGTATGGCGTATGTTCGTCATTTATTAACCCCGTCGGTGCAGAAAAGTAGGACGTTAAACCCAATTATATTTCAGATCATTTCGTATTCATACATTATATCAAGGCCTATGATGATTTATATTTAAAGTTGAAATTGAAAAGATTCAAAATTAAGCATCATGTGTTTAGAAAACTTACTGCATATAGCTTGTAGCTGCTTCTTCTTAAGTTGGTGAACTAAAAATAAATATGATTAAGATTGACTTAACTTTACAATTCAAAATATCAACTGAAAAAAAGACATGTGGTTGAAAATAGATTTTGAACTGTAGTTAGAAACAATAAGACAAAGTTATGACATATTTCCATCCCAGTCGGTATTCTTCGATTAATTTCGGTAATTTCCGAGGTTTGGGGACAAATAAGTTTCATGGCAGTCGAATATTGTCGGTGGAAATTAAATAAATCTAATTCACACTCGAATATGTTAAGAGTGATTTATTTCCCTTTCATAACATTCCATATGGCGTACTGTCTTTAAAATACTGATGGGGCGGGGCGGGGGGGGGGGGGGTGCATTAACGAAGAAAAATAAATAGATAAAACATACCAGTTTCCAATGACGCAGTTGTAACTGGTTCAACTTTGTAGGTTTTACCTACATTTTATTTCAGACAAATAAACCTGTATAGCTTTATAGACAAGGTAGCACTTTTAGTCTATTAAAACAAATACAAAGTTGTAGAAAATATTTCAGTGTCCGGGGCAATAACTGGGTATACCGATAGGTTTTCAACAATGAAACATTACAAATAGATCGTATTTATTTCACTATTGAAATTATTGTAGCAATTGGAACCAACGGTTGCAATGCACGATACGCCCACATTTTACAGGGATAGAGAACAGGAGCCGCGATTTTTCGTACAATCAGGGGCCATAATGTAATGCTATGGTCTTTGCGATCATATTGTATCTTATTAGGTTCACACTTTCGATAAAGTCAAATCTCACGTACTCAAATGAATTTGCGTGGTGTATTTATATATATATAAACAAGCCAACAGTGAGGCTGATGTCCCCCGCCGAAATAGGAAAATAATTAGAGGACACATATAAAAATCAAATTGCGTATCGCTCTGCTTACCCTGAGCAGAAAATGCTCATTATCAAACTTAGTCAAGGTATTACTGTAATGAAACTATACACCAAGTTTCATCAATCTCACTTAATTAGAACTAAAGTTATCGTGTCCCAAAGCATCAACCAATCAAATTGCTTATCTCTGCTTACCCTAAGCGGAAAATGCTCATCTTCGAACTCCATCAAGGCATTGACCTAATCAACACATACACCAAGTTTGAACATTCTAGCTCAATTAGGAAGAGAGTTATCGTGCCCCAAAGTATCAACCAATCAAATTGCTTATCTCTGCTTACCCTAAGCGGAAAATGCTCATCTTCGAACTCCATCAAGGCATTGACCTAATAAACACATACACCAAGTTTGAACATTCTAGCTCAATTAAAAGTTATCGTGTCCCAAAGCATCAACCAATCAAATTGCTTATCTCTGCTTACCCTAAGCGGAAAATGCTCATCTTCGAACTCCATCAAGGCATTGACCTAATCAACACATACACCAAGTTTGAACATTCTAGGCCAATTAGGAAGAGAGTTATCGTGTCCCAAAGCATCAACCAATCAAATTGCTTATCTCTGCTTACCCTAAGCGGAAAATGCTCATCTTCGAACTCCATCAAGGCATTGACCTAATAAACACATACACCAAGTTTGAACATTCTAGCTCAATTAGGAAGAGAGTTATTGTGTCCCAAAAAGTGTGACGGACAGACAGGCAGACAGACGGACAGACAGACGGACGAACCCATTTTAATAGTCCCCTGCTTTCTTCGAAAGGCGGGGGACAAAAAACAGTGATATTTTGGTCCTGACCACTACTAAAACATCCATCAAATACTATCTTGTTTATGACGTGTTTGGTAGACCAAATATGGTAATGTTCTCCAGTCTTTGGGGTATGGGGAAGTTTATTTCATATTTGGGAAGGAAATTAACGCCAAGGTCAGTCTATGACGTAGAAATTAGGGGGTTATAAAAGAGGGTGTTGAGCGAAATTCATCAGAGCCCACCCAGACTTTCCGAGCAGTCATCAAAAGATATAATAATACAAATGATTGAGAACGAGGAATATTGGTGCAAAACGTTTTTTTTATAATAAAGTTGTAGAAACGAACTAACATGTAGTTATATTTACGATCACAAAGGAAACACAACAAAGAAATCCGCTATTACTACAATAATCCAGAACTTATCGAAAGAAACTAGGATCTTTGGGATATAAACATGTATCTTAAGTTTCATCAAAAACGCAAGAGGGTCCACAAGATTTTGGAGATAAACCTGTATTTAAAATTTCGTCAAAATCGGATTGTTTCGGTCTCTCTTTCGAGAGCTAAGGTCTAAATAAGGTGATTATGCTCCAATTTATACAGATGGTTCGAAAGATGGACACCATCTTCGACCATTTCTCTACGACTTCCACCTGCTGCCATTCTCCAAGCCTTAAAGTTCATTTAATCTTCATCAGTTTTAAAACACATTATCTTTTCTGATTCTTTGTCTTCGTTACAAGCAATTAGTAACAAACAGCTTGATCATCCATTAGTAGCAGATATTTATAGTCTGCTACTATCATACGAGTTGAGCAGCAAGGATATTGTCCTTTGCTGGCTCCCCAGTCATACTGATATAAAAGGGAATGATCAAGCAGATTTGGCTGCCAAGTCTGCTTTAGATCTTCCCATATCTCAATTTTTATTACCATATCATAATTTTAAATCTTGCATTAATCATTTCATTTATGGCTGCTGGCAACGGTCTTGGGATCTTGCAGACACATATAAACTTCACCACATCAAGCCTCTCTTAGGAGACTGGTCAAACTCCTATAGAACCAACCGGAGGGGTGAAGTTGTTTTTTAACTCACAATTCCATCTTGAAGCGAGAGCCTCAACCAGAACGTGAACACAGTCATGTTCCTTTGGCAGTTAAGCACATTCTGATTGAGTGCAAGTTTCTTAGAGACATCAGAACAAATTATTACCGTTGCCAATCGTTAAATCATTTATTTGCCCAACCGGGTCTATATTCGAAACTACTAGACTTTTTAAAATAGACAAATTTTTATAAACAATTTTAATTGTAAATATATATCATATTGTTTTTCTTTTTTAAATATTTGTGTACATGAAGATGAAATTTTTAATTTTAATTGTTAAATATACTGTGATATTTGCTTTTATTTGTGTACACGAATTCCTTGTGATATTTACTTTGTCCCATACTTTTCACCATATGTCTGGCGCAATATAGCCCGGTTGGAGCTGACGTGCCATAAAACCACATTTCATTCATTCATTCATTATTCAAAATCGGATAAAAATTGTAGAGTGTCCATAAACAAATTGTGGATGGACGGACGTCCAGACGAACAGACGGGCGGACGGACAGGGGCGACAACACTAGAGACTTTTGGCAAGGGGAATTTTTCCCATCCGTATCACGTATCCGTATCATCACGTGATACGTTGCGTCAATGTAGTTTTAGAGTTTTGGCAGATTTTCGCGCCGCGTACGTATGAGTAGCTGAGCTGAACTTAGTTCTATTACAGAATGATGGCAGTTATCTACCTGGCCTACAAATTACTGGAGGGAGTGAAGTTGCTGGACAGTCGCTGAGCTATGAAAAGAAAATTAATGTCGAATCTTATTAATCGACAGCAATGTTTGGTTTCACTAATGTATCATTTAATAAAGTTTATATACCCTTACCATACAATCACATCATTACAGATTTGCAAGGTCCCACATTACTAAATTTAGCGCGTAGATCAACCAGCATGCAGACAGACAAGAAAATTATGAAAATTCAGAGAAAAACTCATCAAAAATATAGATTAAATTCCAGTCTTTATCATGGTTAAAATAACATCAAATGTACACCTTCGTGTTCTAGGATACACATAGATTCATTTAGTAGCAAAAAAGACGGTAAAAAGACGACGATGATACACGGACTTTTTCCGTATGAAAGCTGTTCGATACGTGCTGCCGTATCCGTGTGCCGTATCACATTATGAGAAATACACACACATTGATTACGTCACACGCAAAGTCTATACGGATACTCGATACGGACCAAGAATTTACACTTGCCCAAAGTCTCTAATATAAAAATGATTCACGCTTTTTGTTAAATATCGTTTATAATACCTTTTTCGTCGTAACTTTGTAATCTTTCCTTCACACAACTTTGGATTTTGTGACATTCTGAATTATAAAAAAAATATACAAGTAAGTTTATCCTCTGGTATTGCGTTTATTAAGTAATTTTAATTAGAAGTTTAAATGCAAGGACCCCCTTTCAATTAGGTCAACTATTAAACACAGAAATGGTTATATTCTACGAACATGGACGTAAATTTTATAAGAAGGAATATTATCCTTTGTAACGTTCAATCTTATAAACTAATATACATATAAACTCATAGATTTTATTTTACTTGAAATATTTGATTCTATTTTCTGGTCATCGTCAAACATGTCTGACGTTCAAGCCCTTACATATTCAATAACAGTTCCCACCTATTCACCCCGACAAGCTAAATGATAATCTATACTAATCTTTTTCTTTCTGTTCAGGGTTTGCGACTACTTTAGGTCTGTCCCGAGGCTGAAATGTGGTATATAGGGGTAGTTCGGAGTACACAGGCTAGGTGGCATTGTCCTACCGCTTCCGGTTTCGGAGTTATACTACTTTCAACCCCTGCAGCGCTGGGCAATCCGCAAGTTATGGTAATAATAACGAATAAAACCACCTTCATTGAAATGACTGACAAGTATACTTACTTTTCGTTTTTTTCTTTTGGCATACCTGCCATTCGCATTCATAAGCATCATTTTTAGGGAGTCTCTACAACAAATTCAAATATTTAGATGTATGCAATTAACTAGAGGTGGGTATTGTTCACGAGGCAGGCAATGCTTACTCTTTCTGAAGGCCTGATGACTCCTCTCGGAAATTCTTCTTGTTTCACTTGTCTCCGGGTTCAAAACTGGCCAAAACTCAATTTGATGAAAATAATAAACTGATTCAATTAATCACATTCAATGTATATGATACCACTGCAATATATTATAGCACAGTAGCTAACTGTAGAGAACAGCGAATCGTTCAAATGTGGATTCAAATACAAAATTGGCACAAATACTCCTTGAGGACTACCCTGTTGAAAAAGCACATTATCCACTCGAAATCCGAGATGGTGGACTTTCCAAATTGTTATAGTCTATTAAATCCTAAGATTCCTAAGAAATTGAGGGCTCTGAAAGCCAAGAATTGCGGTCTGATAAAAACCAAACTCGCACTCCCCCAAGATCGGACCAACAATTGTGGGCTCTAGAAGGTCCACAGACTTTGTACAAAATTCACATTTTCCCTTAAAAGGCAAGAACCATAACCCAACAAGTTGCGGTTTGGCGCAGACTAAAACTGAACTCCCACAAGATCTGATGATCTTTAACTTATATCTTAAGTTTCATCTGCATTGGACCAAAAATTGTTGCCTGGAGGGTACACAAGCTTCATGCATATTTCACAATAATACGTAAACGGTAGATAGGTGGCCATAACTCAAGAAGTTGCAGTCTGAAGAGAATAAAAAACATATCCTAGATATGTGGGGCATAAACAAATGTGAACGGACGGGCGGACGGGCGGATGGACAGGTGCGACGACAATATACGTCCACATGAACATCTGGTCGTATAAAAAAACTATGTTAAACCTACAGCCATTATCGCATTCACAAGGTTTTCTGTAAGGGGTGAAAGGGTTGTCCTCCAATGACCGTACACCACAATGCTTTCCACCAATTCTCGAAAACTATATCGTGATCACATCTTATTCGGAAAAGGGGGCATTACTCCGGTTCGAGTAAGGTCACAAAACGGTTCGGCCCCTCATCATGAACACAGACTGTGCATGACGCGTGTTTAGTTGCCAGCTATATTAGTATCAACCATACAATAGCTTTATTGACGGAAACATAAACGTTTTAAAGCAATTGATTCAGGACTGTGGACCCAGAATTTTTAGGAGAAAGAACTGTCCTATTCTAATTTCTTATTTAGAAAACTTAAAGGGCCATTATGTAAGATTTGGATAAAGATCTGACAGTTCTCGCAAATATACTTAAAGAATAGATAATGAAAAGGAAATATGTAGAAAATTTAAGTCAAATTACTTTACTCCGAGCCGAGTTATCGTCGATACAATTACAGTATAGCCTCAATTGTCATTGCTACAGTTGTTACGATAATAAACAAAGTCTCGATTATCCATTTTTACGTTAAATCATCCACCGCAAATCGTGTTTAAATCTGTTGAAAATCTAGACCACCCGATGGCATTGAGGGTTGATTATGGTCATAAGTTAATGTCTAATTAATCATGTGTATGACATTTAAGGGATAAAGAAAGACCTGCAATAGGCAGATTTAGTTCTTGCATTATGGTTGTTTAAACAAGACAGCATAATCTTAGTATTCTAACCAGAAAATAGACTCTTTAACCAGAAACATGAACTCATGAACAATATTTTATAAAACCATACATTTGAAGTCAAATACTAACTTTGTGTCGTTTTCTCTTGGCTTCTGTAACATCCACCTGTATAAGGAGTAGAAATGCATACACTAGCAGCAGCCACATCAAAATTTTAGACTTAATATCCATTCCTGTCTAGTTTGTTAACCATCTTCATTCTGTAATGATAAATGAAAACCATATCCAAATTATGCGGAATTAATACCCCAGTTCAGTCAAAAATCCATTCGACACAATCTAGGTCAATTCGGGACTAATAGACTTATATATGATTCAATTTTATTACGATAGTTCGCTTGTGCGTATGGAGTCTTTAGCAGTGGTAGAAAAGCCAGGGACCCGGACAAAACCCACGAGGTTGGATTGGCGAGGAATCGAAACTACGTCACTTCACTCGATCACTGACCCCATGAGCTAAAGCACACGCATTAAACTATTCGGACTAGAACTTTAGCCACTAGAGGTAACGCGACCAAAAGTAATATCGTTTTCAAATCAACATAAACACTGTGTTTAAATTCCTAGCCAAGCAGATCATGAGTTTTGGCCTGGGGAGGGCCGTTTCTTTTTTCGGGTGGGTTAATGGCACGAAAGCGCGTGGCCTGGTGAATGTTTGCCTTCATACTGCAAGGGACTAAGTCAGGCAGGAGTAAGACCACAGGTTCAGCTGTGCGCACGTTCGCAATCTTTTACGGTCTCTTATGTGATGCCTATTCTTAATACCCGGAGCAACCCCTTCTGATTAAGGGGGGGGGGCGAAGAGGAAGTCTCGAGGGGCCGAAGGCGCGAGCACCAACGGTCGAGAGGGGCGGGGTGGAGGTAGGGGTCTCACCCACAAAGTTTTGAAAAATAGACTACCGGAAATGCAGTCTACAAGTATTTCATGCACCGAATGTCGCGGTAAATAGAGCGGACCAGTTTCTAGTTTATACGACCAGAAGTGTGGAAGAGAGAGAGAAATGGCGTTTAACGTCCACTCGACACAGACTAGGTCATTTCGGGACTAACATATGGTTTAATTTTATTTCAATAATTCGCTTGCGCGTAGGGGTCTTTTGCAGCGGGAGGAAACCGGGGGACCCGGAGAAAACCCACGAGGTTGGACAGGCAACCCTACCCCTTGTCACGTACAACCGGGGATTCGATACCACGCCAGTTGACTCAATGATAGTGCGCGCGCGTGCTAACCATTCGGCCATCCAACTAAATATGGTATCCACAGATCATTTTCGTCTGTAATGTATCGCACACCAAGTTCTAAGTTTAAAAATAATCATCACAAAAATAATTTGAAATGCATTTACGACTAGTATAGGTATCCCAAAAAAAGTCACCCCCAAGATTTCCTCTTTTCTAATGTGTTGTTCTTACATGTAGAACTTGTGAAATACGTCACTGACGAAAATTACCTGTGGATACCACATCTAGACTCTACCAAAAAAGTTACTGGACACAGAGTCTTCGATGCAAAAACGGATCACATTACCATTTCTGAATGAATAAGGGAACGTAAATTCTTAACAACTGCATTATATACCATAAATGATTCTCATCCTGGTAAAATGGTACAAAGACAAAGGAGATGAAATTAAAAATGACTCAGTTGGCCCCGTTGTATTGTTATGGGGTGGGGGTGGGGGGTCGGAATAACTAGATATTTTCTCCAAAGAATGTGTCAATTCTTAACATTATCATTAGCATCATATGTTTTAATGCATAAAACAATTAAACTACATTTACTGGTAAGTTCTGTACATGGTTAATTGACTGACAGGTAGATTCCTGAGTCCGGTCAATTTCAGTTGCCCTCAAAAAACTATTACACTTTGCTATTATAAACCAATCCAATAGAAAGATTGATGATTGTCTCTTTTTTCTGAAACAATGATCTACAATTATCGAATTCAGTGACTCTAAAAACTTAATAGAGGACATATTACAAGCCATATCAAACAGAAAATTGACGATTATCCTAAAATTTGATCATTATTGGAAAATTTTGAATTTCCGCCATCTTAGATTTTGGAAACTCTTTTTTTAGATTGATTTTTATTTCAATGACTTTGAAAACTCTTTATATTACATATTACAAACCATATCAAAGAGTGAAATGACTTTTATCTGACAAATCGGCCATTTTAGATAAATGTTGGTTGCCATTTTGAATTTCCGCCATCTTGGATTTTGGAAATTATTTTTTTATTTAGATTAATTTTAAGTTCAGTGACAATGTAAACCCTTTAAATTATATATTACAAACCAAATCAAACAGTGAAATGACTTTAATCTGATCAATCTGCCATTTTGGGTATATTTTGGCCGCCATTTTGAATTTCCGCCATCTTGGATTTGGGGAAACTAGTTTTAGAGATTATTTTTCAGTTCAATTACAACAAAAAACCTTATATTTGATATATTACAAGGCATACATTGCGTGATAATCACCCATCCTATCTGGAAATTCATTTTTCTTCAAATTTTGGCGGCCATTTTAGAAATCAGGCAAACCCCAAACGAAAATGACGTCATAGATAAATCTTTTTTCAAAAATCGTGTTCAGCTAGCAATTTTGCATCTGGAAATTGCTGGCCTGAAATGATTTGTAAAAATATGTCTTATTGTGACACCCCTTGTTATATGTATATCAATGAATAGGCGGCCATTTTGGAAAAGATGGTCGTAACGACCACCAGGGGGGGGGGGGGCTGCTGAGGTGGATCCACATCCCAAAATAATCAGTAGGGTTGATGCCATCTATGTGCCAAGTTTCATGCTTTTAACCCAAAATGCACGATTCTACCAAAAATTCTTCCTTAACCGCCCCACTACTAGTATAGTGAAGATACTTGTAGTTTGCTACCTCTGAAATCAAAGGGCTAACACAAGGAGAGCCGAAAATCCAAGATGGCTTCCAAAAATGGTCTGAAATTGACCTTCACAAACATTGTTGGCGAAATGACCTGTGTAATATATCACTTGATAGGTATTGTTGGTAACCGGGTACATTTTGGATAGTTTCCGATTCATCTCACAAACGGCTGGTCCATTATGGCCTCCAAAGACTAAAATGGCGACAGAAATGGGCTAGAAAAGTTTTCCTTCAATACCAATTGCCAAACACACATGCGATATGTCGTTTAAGGGGTTGTAGGAAACGAGAAACACGAATATGCCATTTCCAAGCCGATGGAACTAATTTCAAAGGGGATAGCATACAAAAATTAAGCATTTTCACGACTACAGACCTACAAAATTGTGACCTCTAGAGGGTCCGTAATCTAAAAATGCGATTTTTCGTATCAGGGGTCATAATCCAAGGAGTTACCTTCCGATATGCGCGAACATTGAAAGGAACCAAGATCTTAAATACATTTTTAGTTCAATCAAAATCGGATAAAAATTGTTACCTGTAGAGTGTCCACAAGCTAAATACAAGATTTTTCGTAAAATAAGGGGCCATAATCCATGAAGTTAGGGTCCGATACATGCCAATATCGAAAGGAACCGAGATCTTTGAGAGATAAAGCTATACACGTATATATTTCAAGTTTCGTTACAATCGGATAAAAATTTTGACCTGTAGAGTGTAGGCGGATAAAAATTACATTTCATCAGAAACGTACAACAAATTTCCAAATTATACGAATCTCCAAATACATATTTGCAAAAACCATTGCCAAAAAACATTTTTCCAGATCCATCTAACCTGAATATTATGGCGACAGAGGATGCTAGTGGCGGGATATCAGAGAGGAAAGTGTATATAATAAGTATTAAATTCTTTATATAAATATAATTATAAACAATGTACTTATAATTTTGTAAATAATTTCATAGGGGAGATGAATTATATACTGAAATCGCTTCAGATAGATAGAAAGACGTAGATCCACTCACAAATTTGGTCTGTAAAGTATTACCAACTTTATAATACCAAACAGAATGGGGGGGGGGGGGTTGGATGGCGAATATGTAGCACCATGGGCCTTTCTGTCTGACCACATCTTACATACGACCCATGCATCTTTTCTTACTACATATTTCTGTAGCCTTGTGATCGTCTAGAATTTGCCTCTAGCTGTCTTTACTTCTTCTTCACGTTGTGTGAATGCTTCTTACTGGTTTCTTAAGACGTTTGTCCTCTCAGTTATAACAATGCAACAGTTCGTTTTTACATTTTATATATCATATAGCTGCCTTCAGATGGTACAATGCACAGTACATATTACAATATTAACTACAGTCATTCTCCACCTTAGCCAGCCAAGCAGCTGTCTAGGAACTCTGTGGAATCTAATGGAAGTCTGACTTAAAAGTTTACTATAATTTCTTTTATAGAGCTCATGCATATCACACACAGAAAGCCTGTTCGTGGCCCTGAACCTGTGCAATTTCTGATATGATTGGTTAAAGTAAGCCAAATGATGCAATTAGAATATTTTCACTCACATGTAATCTCGTGGTATTTTATTGACACATACAGCCAGCTATGTTTTGGTTCTGTAACTCTTTTTATGTGTCAATTGTCACTTACGCACTAAGTTGATTTTAGTACAATTCTACATATATGTGAATTTAATAACTTGACCCATGTGCTGTACTTGATAACGAAAGGTAAATTTCACATACACATTATTTTTATAAAATAAAAGTCTGGTTTTATCCAGACACCGCATAATACAGCTTGGGACACCGGTCTCCATTTCCAGATGAAGACTGACGGGTTTAAGTTTTTTGAAAACGTATTTCATATGTTGAGAGTTTCTCGGCCCTAAGGTAGAGGATTTTAAGGGATTTTAACACAAAATTAAGCAGTTTTATTCTCCAAAATATTATCGGGATTAGCCCTTTAATGAAATATACTGCTCCCATTTATTTCAAGAGCAAAAATTCTAGCAATAGTATTACACGAATGGTTACCACGTGCGCGCTGTATCATAAGGCCTGTCACTGAGTCAACTGGCGTGGTTTCGAATCCTCGGTTGTACGTGACAAGGAGTAGGGTCGCCTGTTCAACCTCGTGGGTTTTCTCCGCTCCGGTTTCCTCCCACTGTTAGAGACCCCTACGCGCAAGCGAATTATTGAAATAAAATTAAACCACATATTAGTCCCGAAATGGTAACTATTACTGAACGCGTTGCTATTACCAAACGGATTG